AAATATGGAATTAATTCTGTAACTTTGACAGCTGTTGGAACAGCTGCATTAATTTATGAAAAGAAATTTGGTTTTGTTGAATGTGGAAGAGTAGTTTATATCAATAGACATGAGCAGTTATAATTTCCAAAGCTTCCTTTGAGGATACTCTCTCTTCTGGGAGAAATTTGAGTGTTCCCTTCAAGAGAGTTTCCAGTTTTGCCATGGATGGCTTTCCAACTTTATCTGAATATATTCTCTCAATTTCACACTGAATGCATGCAAGTGTTTTTTCCTCTCCTTTTTGTATCATTTCCAAGAAGATATTCTTCCTCTCATTTCTTGTTAATAATTGATAGAGAACAATACCAGCGGACCATACATCGGCTTTTAGTCCATATCCTTGATTGAGTTGAAGCTCTGGGCTTTGGAATCCCATTGTTCCACTCACACTAAAAGCTCTACTTTCAACAATATGCTTGGAGAGACCAAAATCACCAACAAGAACATGCACTTTGGAGATTTGATTTCTTTCATTCTTTTCAATGGAACCAATGAGAATATTTTGTGGTTTGATATCACGATGAATAACTTTTTTGGAGTGGAGCTCAACTAGAGCTGAGAATATTTGTTGCATGATTGAAATTATTGTTTTGAGTGGTAATATTGCAGCATCGGAAGTTCTAATGAGAGAGGACAAATCACCATATGGATAGTAGTGCATGACAATACACAGTACTGCACAGTCACTATTCGTATCGCTCTCCAAAGAAATTGGGTTGTAGTAATGTTGAAAGACATCTAAAACTTTAACAATATTTGGGTGATTGAACATAAGCATTTGGAGTGCCTCCTTCATAGCATCATTGAATGATTGATTAGAATTACTATGATCCATATCAACTGGGAGTAATTTGAGAGCTACTTGCTTTGTCTGTGAGGAAGATCCAAAATGATCTTCACACAAATAGACTGAGGAAAATCCACCACTTTGAATTTTTCTAAGAGGCAAGTATCTTTCATTCCATAGTTGACTCTTTGGTTCTTGTGGAGAGGGAATAGATAAAGAAGATGCTGTATATGAAATATTGAAGGAGCTAAAACTCAATTTGGTGGAAGGATTGGAAATTGGAGTAACTGGAGGAGAGTTGGTGGAAATTCTAATTTGATTAACATGTGGAGATTCCACAAGAAGGTCCAAATCATCCAACTCTATATAGTCATCACACTCTCTATCAAGGATTTCAATAAAGGAAATTCTTTGATTGCCCCTCAATATGGTTTCACACTTGTCCTTGATGAACTCTTCCACTGAATGAATTGAAGGGAAAGGACTCTTTTGAGTGAGTTTCTTCTTTCTTGAACCGTGTTGAATCATCATGATATACCTGGGTTTATCATTCTTTTGAGAATTGTTTACAGTTGTTGTGGTCAAGTTTGGATTCACAGTATTTTCAACATGTTTCATTATCCAAGGATGATGAGTGAGATTCTTAATCAAAGATCGGGTGTAGGAATGATTCTTGAAACACAGATTGAGGAAATCAATTACTGACTCTGAACATGACTCAGATTTAGGATAGTACTTTCTAATCATTTCTTCCATATTCTTTCCACTCGATAACAGCTCAAATAAGGAATTCCAATCATAATCATAGAAGGGTCTTCTCTCAGTCATGAGCTCAATAACCAAACATCCAACACTCCAAATATCTGCCAATGCTTGTTTTGTCCACTCACAACTCTTATTACATTTGAACAATGAAGGTGAGCTATAATTGATACATGGTTGATATTTAATATACTCATCTCTGGATAACACAAATCCAATATCACACAATTTGATTTGTCCATTCCTGGATAACATGGTATTATTGGGAGTCAAATTCAGGTGTGCCATTTTGAGTTTCTGATGCATGAACATAATACCCTGCAATACCTGATCAATATACTTGGCAATTACCTTCTCACTTGGTTTATATCCTTTCTGGGAGAGCATGGATAAGGAACCATTTTCTAGGAATTCCTCAACAACCACATAGAATTCCTCACCCTCCAAAATATTACCACTATCATTCATGATTGGAAGGGTGACACTGGCAAAGGTATGAGCCAGATATGGACTATATTCATTACTCAATTGTTTTGCTTTGAGGGTTTCAATTCGTTCTCTCAATTTTGGAACTACATCTTGATTGTAAACATGCTTGATTACTACAAAGTTTCCAGTTTGGATGTGATAGCCTTTGTAGATTTTATAGTACCAATTCTTTCCTAAACAATCAGATTCTCTATTTACTTGCTGTTCCTTCTTTGAGTATTTTGAACTTTCTAACAACTTACATAGTTTCCAATATTTAACAAGGAATTTCCTGGATTGATTGCATGGCTTTCACTCGAAATACTACAACGTCTAAAGTTTTGATCATAGAATAGGAGAGGTCGTTTCCAATTCTCTTCCTCATCATCCACCAACAGATTATTTCCCAGCAATTGATTATTGTCATTAATTATTTGACACGTAGCAGGTTCTAAATTTTCAGGATTTGCTGCTGCTTGTTCAAAACCTCGATCAGAGGAGTTTTTAGGAGAAGCAACTTGTTGCATTTTTATTTGTATTGCAATTGGTAATTTCCCAACTATGTACTACCATATTTGGAAATTTGTGATATCTATATCACAAGAGAATCTTTGAAGGATATCTATCTCTATTATCCTTAAATCTGTTGTTGACTGTGCAACAAATCTTCAAGAACTTGTTACATGTTTGCCTTAATATTTAACAGAATGCTACAAAGATGTTATTGTGGACCAAATTTTCCTCAATCCCAAGCAATATTACTACTTCATGAACAACGTTCCATATTAAACTGCTCCACCGAGCATGTGCTGGTATAGGAAAAACTCAGGTCATGAAACCTGAAAACAATTCGCTCAATATTAACATCACCTCGATTTATTTGGAACGGTGAGAGAAGAACTTTGGACTAGAAGAAGAACAAGGAGAGAAAAAATTGTCCACACACACATTTCAATAGAACCGCATACACACACGTGATGACCATGAGTGAAGAAAATCAACCTCAATCATCATCACGCTGCTCTTCCCCGACTTGTTCCCTTAATGATTCAGCATCCTCCTCAATAACAATGGCAACAGTATCATCGGTGGTGACTAAGAGTGATCTGATTTTGAATATTGCTGTTGGGAATAATTTTGGAGAAGAAGAAGAAGAGCGAGCAAGTGTTGTACAGAATAACTATTATTCAACTCCCTTACATACACATCGAGAAAGTGGGTTGATATCGAGTGCAGTTCCCTTCACTACTTCACCTCAACATTGTTCATCATCAACATCGATTAAGAGAATGGTTCAGATCAATATTAGTTCGGAGGTTACATTGGGACAAATGAAGAGGTGTCTCACGAATGTTATGGCTTGTGATATTCATGCTGTATTTGTGAGAGTCCTGTGTTCGAGATGTGAAAATTCATATACACTTCTTGGTGAGACCAATAAGCTCTATCTTACTGATCAATATTCGGAAAAAACAAAACTCTCATTCAGTAAGGGAGTTGAAATTGAATATAATTTTGAAATGTTGAATTCTATAAGATTGGAGTTGTATGGTTTTGCAGCAGTTACTTTGAGATCATCCATTGATTATAGTGCATCATATAGTGAGGACGCCAAGTTTATTGGTTTTTCAAGAGATATTGAACTGATTCATATTGTGAATGGTAAACAATCAAAAATTGAACTGTACTCTGGGAGAGAGACACTGATATCGAGTTTAAATTTACAAAGCGATCTCTACTATGAGATTGGTAACAATCAAGAATTGAGAGATTTGATAGAATCAACCAAACGATGTGACCTTGCCGAGTTGGAGACATTATTGACAGAAGTGCCACCAACCATTTTCACGGAAACAAACATGATCACTTTCAAATGTAGAGCTATGGGATTGGATAGGAAAGATATATTCGCTCTCAGTGACCCTTTTATTGTGATTTTGAATGATGAAAAGGAAATTTTCAGGAGTGAAGTTATTAAGGTAAGTTATTTCTAAAGTTTATTATGTGAAATAATTTCTATTTTTTAAAATTTATAATATTTAGAATATGCTCGATCCTGAATGGAATAGTTTTTCGATATCTTCATCCAAGCTTTGTGAAAATGACTATAACAAACAATTGAAAGTGAGATGCTATGATTGGGATTTAATATCTAGTAATGACCTCATTGGAGAGTTTTACTTTACTATTCTCCAAGTACTCAATGGAAATAAGCTCTATGAAATTATAGAGCCAAACCTTGCCAGAAAGAAAAAGGGATACAAACACTCTGGCATCTTTCAATTTTTACATGTGACAGAGTTTATGGGCAATGAGGAGAGTAAAAATCCAGAAAGAATAATCTATGAAAAGATGATATGTTTAAAGAAGAATAAGGAGCTACTCTTCATGGATTATATAGAAGATGGATTCAATCTCTCTCTACACTTTGCAATTAGTTTCAGTAAGGAAAATTCTTCATTACATTTTCAAGGTAACAAGAATACCTATGAAAGAGTTTTGAAAACCTTTGGAAGAGTATGCGAGTGTTATTGTGATACTGAATTTTCCATGTATGGATATTCAGCAATCCAAAGAACAGCAAGTTCTCCTCAACAACAGCCATTCTTTACCTTAGACGACATGTATATAAATTCAATGAAATTTACAGGATACGAGAGAGCAATTAATACCTACCGAACAGGTTTGCAAAATATTGATTTTGATGAATTATCAAATGTGAGAAATCCAAAAACTAATCTCAATTTTAGAAATGATGATTTCTATCACTTGATTAATCATGTTTCGAACAATGTGGAAGAAAATGAGAAAACCTACAAGGTTCTTGTTATCATGATTAATGGAGATGATATTGAGCTACAAAGAACTGTTGATGCACTTGTCGATTGCAGTTCTAAACCCATATCAATAATAATACTAGGAGTTGGATCCTGTTCCTTCTCCTCCTGTAAAATTCTATTCAGCAATAACCAATTTCAACATGGCTCAACTGGAAAGAAACCAATTCGGTGCAATGTTAAATTTGTTAGACTTCAAGATGTAAATGAGAATGCCTATTCGAAAATACTTGCAGATATTCCAAAGCAATTTGTAGAATATTATCAAATTAATAAAGTTTTCTGAAAGGCTCGATTGCTTATTCGAAACATTTCACTCTCACATCCAATAAAGGCTTTGCTAATTGGCGCCAAAATAACGATTAAAAAAATGTCGCAAGAACAAACTCTCGAACAACAAGAAACAGTGGAGGAAGATTCTCATCTTGTGGTCGATTTGGATTCGATAGAGCATACTGTCATTGGTTTGGCATTGGAAGGTAGAGAGGAACATCCACTTGCTAAATTCCAAACACTCTCTGTTGAGGAATTATATAAACAACACTTTCAATTGAATGGAAGTAATACAACATCAATGAAGGCTATTTTCGACAATGGTCTCGATGATGAACAAGTTAAACAACAACGACAAAAATTCGGGGAGAATGATATTTATACAAAATTAGTGGAAAAGTCTAGTTCGAAAATTTCATTCTGGAAGGTTTTCATTTCCGAAGTGAGAGAACCAATGATTTTAATGTTGTTTGTGGTTGGAATATTATATTTCATTTGGGATTCATTGTGGAATGCTATTGTTGTGTTTTCCTGCATTATCTTGATGGTTTTGGTCGAGGTTGGAAATGAATACAGATCAAAGAGAGGCGTGATGGAGCTCAAGTCTTCTTATTTCATGTCAAAGACTTGTACTGTAAGGAGAAATGGTATTCTTTCTAATATTTCAGTTTCTGATCTTGTTCCAGGAGATGTTATTAACTTTAATGGAGGACAAATTCTTCCAGCTGATGTGAGACTTTATAATTATGAAAATAGACAGATTAGTGTTCAAGTGGATGAATCTATTTTGACTGGTGAATCAATGGTTTGCAATAAGCATGGTAACAACATCTCTTCGAATGAAGACATGTCAAAGTGTGAAAACATTCTACTGACAGGAACCTCAATCAAGAAAGGAAAAGGTTTCGGTATAGTAGTTAATGTTGGTTGTGAAAATACTGGACTCGGTAATATTCTCAAGCTATTAGGTAAAAGTATGGAAAAGGATAAGAAAACTGAACTCCAAAAAACTATGAAAGAACTTGCCAAGTATTTGACAATCATATCTATTGTGATGGCTTCCATTATTGTCATTGTAGGTTGGATTAGAGGATTTGACTGGAAAAAGATGCTACTTTCAGGACTCAGTATTATGTTTGCCACTATTCCTGAGGAATTACCAATCATCATTAAGAGCGTTCTTGCTTTGGGCTCTCTTAATCTCTCAAAAAGAGTCTTCTCATTAAGAAACTTCATGTTCCAGAATCTTTGGCCAATATTACACATATAATAACAGATAAGACAGGTACAATTACTAAAAATTGTCTCCAACTCATTCAAGTCAATCAGGTTGATAAGGATGGAAATGTAGATCTTGTCTACGATACAAAGAAACAAATGGAAAAGAATAATTGGATTATAGAATGGTTGCTTTCTGGTTATACTGAAGTTGGTGCGGATTTAGCTGATCCATTTGAAAAGAGTGTTTCTGAAGAGTTAGAAAGATGTTCTAACCAATCGTGGAAAGGATTTTTGAAAAACAGAACTGAAAACTCTTACAGCATTGTAGATGAGATGCCATTCGATCATACCAAAGGGTTTGCTACCCTTATTCTTTCTTCTGGAGAATCTAAGTTTGTTACTCATAAGGGAATTCCAGAGAGAATGATCACTAATTGTTTGTTCTACCAAGTATCTAATGAATCAGAACAAGTACCAATGACTGAAGAGGTAAGAGAACGTATCCTATCGTTTTTGGAGGTTGAAACAACGAAAGGAATGAGAGTAATTTGTCTATGCAAAGACAATGAACAATCACAGATGGTTTTTGTGTCATTGCTTTCATTCACAGACCCTCTTAGAAGTGGTGTCAAGGAAGCAATTTCTGATTGCAAAAATGCAGGAATTAAGGTAATAATTGTGAGTGGTGATCACACAAACACAGTAATATCAGCAGCTAGGGAATGTGGACTATTGAGCAGTGTAAAACAAGATTTATTAGTTGAAGAGCATGAGCATTCAGAAGATGAAGACATTGAATTAGAAGCTTCCCTTCTCTCCAATAGACAATCTGTATGTATTGAAGGAAAGGATGTCAACGATAAAATGGATGTTGACTCTGTTTGTGCCATTTCGAGAGCAACACCTCAAAATAAGTACGACTTGGTTGAAATGTTAAAAGAACAGAAGGGATATAAGGTTCTCGTCTCAGGTGATGGTATGAATGATGTTCCAGCAATTTCCAATGCAACTGTTGGAATTGCTATGAGATCTGGAGTTGATTTGGCGAAAGAGGCAGCTGAAATCATCATAATGGATGATAATTTTGCTACCATTGTGGCTGGCATTAGAGAAGGAAGAAGATTGTATGCAAATTTGAGAAAATCTTTGCAATTCTACTTGTCATGCAAAGTCACCCTTGTTGTATTGTTTGTTACAAACATGATTGTTGGTGGTTCGAGTGCTATTCCATTTATTCCTCTCGAGCCAATGCAAATTATTCTTCTAGAACTATTTAGTGATATTGGAGCAGCCACTACCTTTGTGTTGGAAGAGGAAGAGGAAACCTTAATGAAAAATCCACCAAGGACCGAGAAGAATTTTGTTGACAAATCCTTTATTTATCACATAATAATTGGCTCCATATCTCTCTTTGCTACAGTATTCTCATCTTACATGTTAGGAGTGTTTGTGCTATCTCCAATGTATGGTCTTGAAGGTTCCTCTCACCAAGAATATGCTCAAAGTATGACAATGATTGCTTGGCTGATTGGTCACGTCTTTTTAGGTTACAATTTCAGAACTATATCTACCCCTCTAACGATTCACGGTATTTTCTCAAACACTATGATGAATGTTTGGTTTGCTGTTGTGTTGATTTCAGTTTTGCTACTCCAATTTGTTCCAATCCTCTACACTGCTCTGAGGTTGCAACCTTTGGGATTTATTGGGCATATTTCTATTTGGCTCCTCATTCTCATATTTATTGGATGGCAGGAAGCACTGAAATGGATAACAAGGTTATTGAAAATTAAACAAACTCTTTAAACCGAATATATCTATTTAAGGAAGCCTAGTTATGCAAAATAATCCAATCACCACAGCTTTTCGATATTCAGTCACAGATTCTGAAACGGTCCTAATAAGAGAACAATATTAATTATTTGTGTTAATGAAGACGATTACTGTAAAGTTGGGAGATACTGATATAATGCAGCCTTAAAACCACACGAACAAAAATGTCAGCAACTGGGCCCTATTATTCATCTACAACGGATGAAGGCACTAATATTAATTTTCCTCACCTTCATAGTTGCTCTTTTCTTTCACATTATGAGGTAGAAGTGTTTTCAAACACAAAATTACTCAAATGAACTCTCATGCATTTTAAATATTTAACAATAATTGAATATTGAATATTGTAAACACTAAAAAAATTCATGATGAGGAAATCAACAATCAAAACATCCACACCATCAGCTCTGAAACGTAATAATCTCTCCTCGCTCACACTCTCCTCTCTATATATTTGTTTCAACATTCGTCTATTAGATTGGTTTGGTATGCATGGAATTGTCTTGTATCCTTTTGTATTATTTGCTCTCCCAAAGGATTGTCTGTACAAGGAATTAATTCAACACGAATTGATCCATGCAAGGCAGATTAAACGAGAAGGCTTCTTCTCCTTCTACTTTTCCTATGCGAAGGAATTGATGATGAATATTGGAAGGGAATTATTGAAAGCCTTTGCAAAACAAGAACCAAAGAAGAGAAAGTCATCAAGATCAACAGCTGTTAGTATTGAAAGTAGTGGTGGTGGATTTTCTCTTGGGAAGATGATGAGAAATATTTCCTATGAAGATGAAGCCTACGGCTTGGAACATGTATCATTGTATGATGAAGAGAAGAAATATTTGAAGGATAGATTTGATATTGATATGGATGATTTGATGACAGAGGAGGAATATAATTCGGGCGATGTTTATAGTAGTTGTGATGAATAATTTTCGATTTTGTGAGATTATGAAATTAATTTTGAAATTTAATATTGTTTGGTTGATGATAAGACTACTCAACTACAACAAAAGTTGATAATCTTCATCAGTAGACTAGATTGAAAGCAAGAAATCCATTGCTTGCCAAATTGCCGCAGATATTTAAACTTATTACCGTTACACTTTTATAAATTAATAAATTAATTCAATAAAATTCATTTATTATTAATAGCCTAAACCACAACCTCTCCCAACTAACTATTATCTATGATATGCCATCAAAACCTTTCAAAAGATGAAAATATAAATACTGGAAAATCAACCAACAAAAAAACCATAGAAATGGACCATCATACAAATCATCATCATTATTCGGGACAAGGCTTTAATCATAATGAAGGGAATAATCATCCCTACTATCAACCTAGAAATCCAATGAATAGAGCTAAAAGTCATGAAGATGTTTGTTTGCAGAGAATGGTTGGATTGAGAGAACAACATTCCAAGTCAACTCAACAATTAATGACTCAACTCAATTTGGCTAAGGAATTGGTTAAGGAAAGAGTGGTTATAAAAGAAAGTGCTAAGAGAAGAGAATCATCATCAGATGAGAATGTCACCCAAAACTATTCAGCCTCAGCTGATGAAGTTCAGCAAATGAGAAGACAAAATCGATTGGGAAAAACATCATTGACAGCTATGAAATATCTCAGTAGTGTCGATCACAGGAGAAGCAGTAGTTTATTGGGAGTGAATACAATTATTCACAAAAAGAAACCAGTCAACTGCTCTGAAAATATCCAATATTGTCAAAATGTTGAAGAGGACATCCATGGAGTGCCATTAGAAGATGAATCTAGTCAACCACCCACACAAAAAACAATTGTGGTAAACATTAATGAAAAGCTAAAAACTGGAGCAAAAAGAAGTGCAACTCAATCCAATCTCCTACACCAACATTCATCGTCTGAATTGAAAAAGATTTAATCTCAATTTTTCATAATTAGAACACAATTGTACTAATTTGCTCACAAATTCTGTAAATATTCGCAATAACACATCATTGACAATTACTATTTATTAATTTAGAGTTCTCTACATATTATACAACAAACAAGATTAATTTAGGTTTACAAAAATACAATTTTGAAATCCAATTGCCTTCACTCAAGGAAAGATAAATTATAAAGAGTAGTCAACCACGAAATGTTGCATTCAATAATACTTTCAATTTCCGTGAAAGTTAAACACATCCCACAATCAGCGTACTCATTCTCCTTTTCGAGCGTAAAATTCCACATTAACTTTCAACTAAGCCCAAGTTTAAAATGATTCTGAAAACATGAGCGGGAAGCTGCTCGAAAACTCCCAGCTGGCATCATCGATAGAAAAAATCACACAAAGAGCCCTTGTTGTATTTCGTCTCTTTTCGAATAGTTTCAGATTTTCGCAAAAGCTTCTTGAAAATGAAGAGACAGTTCGAGAGCATTGAAGATTCCAGCAGTGATTCTTCTTCATATGAATCCTCTACTACTCCTACAACAAATGCTTCATCATCCTCCACAACTATTCGAAACAATTCTAATAACAGATCGAGAAGATATATCGATAATATTGTGCATCCCCAACCATCCTCTACTACAACACCAAGTCCTCAACTCCATAATAACAATTCCAATAGAAACAACATAACAATTACTTCACAACAAGATTCGTATCCTTTCGTCACCTCTTCTACAAAAGTTCCAACCAACAGAAGGCATTTAAAGTTGAGAAAACAATTGAAAACATGTTCTAACTTTTCATCAAGCTACTTTGTATTGGACGTGAATGCTCCTGCTGCTAATACCATAGGATTTATGGGATCAACGAGAGGTAATGATATTCCAGTGCTGTTGACTGATACAGTTTCGAATAGTAATCAAAGCGTAAATCATTTTCTGCCATCCTCCTCCAATACTCCAAATACTCCATGTAAGAAGAAAACCAAAAGAGCACAAACTGGTTCAATTAACTTTGTTTCGAATAATAAGAAGGGAACTAATAAGAAATGGATTGCTTCTGTGAATACTACTGTCAGCAGTTCATCTTCAAGCCCAACCAATCCTCTTAATACCACAACTACTACAACAACTACTACTACTAACTCTACTCAACCAACAGCTGAACAATCTTTCCTCCAACAATTAATCAATCCAATGAGTTCAATGATTCGTCCAAACACAAATAATGTACTTGTTCAAAATGTTCTTCCAATTGGTCAAATTCAACCAACACAAAATAATCATTCACATAATCACCTTGTATCATCCATGAATCCATTCCAACATCAACAACACAATATGAATACTATCCAATCGATGCTTCATCCACTTTCTAATAATATTTATCAATCAAATGTACAAAATACAGCTCCACAAAATCATATTTTCCCATCACTTGATACTATACTGAACTGTTATGCCAATCCTCTCTTGAATTCTCCTCCACTTGGTCAAATGACAAACTATTCCAATAACAGTCTTGATTCAAGTCCAATCACAACAACTCCATCTACTCCTTCCAATACCACTAATAATAATGGTATTGCTTCTCCTATTTTTGGATCCTTGATCAATATGCCACAAGTTAATTCATTGACAAGTGGTAGTTCAACAGGTAATTCTTTTGGAATGCCAAATCAAAACTATAACATGGTCAATTACAATTCAGCTGCTTCAAATTCTGAAATGGTCAACCACAATCAACAAATTACTTTGGAAGATCTGCTCACTCACGATGAAGCTAGAATTTTGCTTAATACAGTTAGTTCTTACTTTAATCAACAAAACAACCAATTCTAGAACACTATATTAAACAATATATAGAACAACAAAATCACTTACAAATCACATTTTTACAATAAATTACAAAAAACTTGTTAATTTGCTACTTGTTCAAGTGAGGAAATCTTTTCAAAATGAACAAGTCCCAAGCCACTGACAATGAGTTGATATAAACTCTTATTGACAACCATATGAATTGAATATTCGTATTCAGTTTCGAATTGTCTTGTTGCTCCTTTGGTTGGAGAAGTTATACTTCCTCCACATTCTGAATAACTTGGAGTTGGAATTGCAGATCGACACTCAATTAGATCAATAGCTTCAATCTTGGAATGTTGTGGATCCTTATTAACAATCTTAACACCAACCACATACCAACACTGTTCATGGTTGTAATAATAGACAATTATTTGAAAGTTATCGAATTCCTGATCACAAAATCTTCCCTCTCCCTTCTTGATTCCCAATTCAAGATTGCTCTTTTCATGACAAGCTCGTTGAGTGATTTCATGTTGCACATCGTGTTCATCTTTGAATTTGAGTAAGAGTTGTTTGATAACTTCCTTCTCGTGCTGCTCAGTTGTGGGTATAATTGAGAGGAAGGTTGCAGGCATTAACCAAGTAGTTTCATGATTGAGAGTGGAAGTTTGATTACTTGGATTAAATACTTTGCAAAATCCTGATGTATTCTCTGTTTCTTGATTACTGACTGTGGGTGGTTGATAAATGTTAGAGGTTGCAGTTTGTTGTGTTTTTTCTTGAGGTTGGGATAATTGTGTGCTCATCTTTAAAACTGTTTTCTTCAATTTTTATTCTTTTTTATTCAGAAAGATTTGAATTTGTTGCCCTAATACTTGGAATGGTCAAATCAATAAAAGGATTCTTGGCATTTGGGGATTGTGCGTGATTTTGTAAACTTACCGAAAGAAATGTGAAATCCAATCTAGTGATCTTGTAGTAGAGCTTACAAAAGAAGAAATTTCTTTGTTGTAAAGATTAGTTGAATTAATTTACAAAAGAGGAAGTCCATGGATCTCGTGCCCTACCTTAGGCAAATAATGGACACATCTTTGGGGCATTTGACACTTATTTCAAGAGCATTTTGAGAATTGATTTTGTAAAATTTACACCAACCCAACCCGAAATGACTCAAATCCAATTGAATAAATCCAAGAATCGTATCAATGAAAAAGCTACTTTCACACAGCAGCGTTTCACCATTCGAAAGGAATTGTAAAGTGCCCTCAAAATGTCCAGTAATCACAAGTGGATTCACATAACTTAGTCTGTACATAATTTTTGGCCGTGTTTTAGTGAGCTTCAAAGCATCTCGACTAAATTCATAAATTTTGGAGAGAAATTTCAATTTCACTTTCTTAACGAGATGGATTTCTTTTTTGTGGAAGGGAGTAATGGCGCCAAATCCTTCAAGTGGCAGATAATCATTCCTTGGCATTTTCGAATAGGATTCGTAGACAGCTGTTTCAAATCGGTAAATGAATCTTTTTTCATCAAAGATTGATTTCTTTTTCTTTGCTCTTCCAATCCAAGTATTTTTCTTCACTTCCAATCCAATTGTTGCATTTCCTCTGCAATTAGTTACCATATTGTGATAGTTTAGAGCTAGCGATGGATGGAATTTGGACACTAGCTGACATGCCGAATAGAATGAAATGTTACTGAGACGTATTCTTTGAGCTTTCAGAGGGGGTTTAAGATAATTGTTGAAATCCACATAATACCTCATTGCATCAATCTTTTCATAATTCACATTTTCAACATTGTAAATGGCATTTCCAAATATTACTTTGAAAAACATGAATAATATCTTGGAATTTGATAGAATGGCACCTCTTCCAGTCTTGATTGAGTAGGAAATCTTTTTCTCTTTCCAATATTTAAATAACTTATCAGTTCCACCATAAATTTCAAAAACTCCATTCAGCAATCCATTAGAAACCTTTTCATCTGAAAATGTAATCAATTCTGTTAGAAATCCTTGCTTAAACCTCGTTGATATGTTATCTGGTTTGTCATATTTCCACTCAAGTGAACTATTCTCATTCCATCCTTTCAAATCAGATTTACAAATCAATTTCATTCTCAGAACAGCTTGTTTAGAAATCCAAATTTCCAATCTGTGAATTAACATATTTGTCTTGATTGGTTCCCAACACATTACCTCACATTCCACTGGCATTTGAATTACAAATTCTGCTTCAATAGTCAACCCCAGAGACTCCTCAATTTTAACTCTTTTCAATTGTGAATCCAAAATTTCATTTCTAAATTCCTTCTTTAATTTGCCGACAAGATTTTCGACATTTTCAATTTGTGGTGGATGTCTCTTGATGAATAGCAATATTTCATCCAGTGTTATTAATTTGGATCGGGTGATGCTATTCCACAATGAACCAAGAAAGGAATCTTGAAATTGTTTCTTTAATTCAATCGTGAATGTGTCATAATCGATAATTTGATTTTTAGCATCTTTGCTAATTGATGATGATGCCTCCGATAGTGCAAATTTGCTAATAACTGATGTGAATATTATTGTAAACAATTCTACAAGTCTATTGTGATTACAACAGAAGAAACCCATCACTAACGATGAACACTTCGGCACTTATTTCAGGATGCAACACAAAATGCTGAAACTTCCAGCAATTTCTGGTTTGGCGCCATAATTATGAAAGATGATGAAAATCTCACACGTCCTAACCATATCTTCACACAAAACAAAAAAACCACACAACAACCACACAATGGCCACCAATTTTTTAACCATCACCAAGGAACAACTCCAAACTTCACCGAATGGCCGTGAATATTCAGCACAAGTTTCCGGAAGAGGCATTCCATTCCTCTTGAAAAAGGTTCATATTAACATTGAATTGGAAAATGATGAAGATCCATCCATTGTTGATTCACTCCTCACTATTGCTAATGACATGTTACAAAAATTGGATGTGTATGCTGCCAAGGCCACTGAAGAATTGTACGAACTTTTCAATGATGAGTGGAATGAGGAAGGAGAAGAAGTTTCCAAGGAAGATTTTGCAAAGAGATTAAAGTTGGAATCTTTAATCGTCAAAAGTTCATCAAGATTGGTCTATTTTGATGATGGAGAACTTTTCTGTGGTCACGTTATTGAAGTCAATATTGATAATGAAGGAAATGTTGAAAGTGCTGACATTGCTGGATAAATTTCAAGAGATTGATTCCAAAACACTTTCAAAGTGCATTACAAAGTACAATATTAAAGAAGATTTCTTATTTTACAAAGTATAAATACATTTGGTTCCAATTATTCTTGTTGTTGTTTCTTGGCCAAAGCTACGATATTGTACAAATATTGTTCAGGATTCAAACTCATATAATTCTTGACAACCTTGATTGCATCCTTCAATAAATCACCAGAAGAAGCTCCTCTATTCATTGGGAACTTTCTTCTACCATCCAATTCAAATACATGGCCATTCTTTTCGACGAAACAAACAAAATGCAAATCTGTTACTTCCACAACTTCACTTTGATTTTGTTCGGAAAGGGCACTACTTTCGTGAGCTTCCTCAACTCTCTTATCACCTTCCAATGATTTGGCAATTTCTTCAGAACTCTTTCCTACATTTCCATTGATGAAATCTTGCAAAAAGCTTGAACTTGCAACTTGTAATGATTTGATATTGTTGGCCAAGGAGTGAATAATGGCAACAGTACCACATGCATTTCCTATTCATTGATTCTTAGATTAGACTTCTTCTTCAATAATTACTTACCAATAGTTTGCTTCATAAAGAATAATTCCTTTGGAATGGAGTCTTGATTCTTTTCCATTTCTTCATCTTCCTTTTGTTGGAGGTTTTGATTTTCCTTGGTCAAAGGAAACAACAACAAGACGGAAATCACAGGCTTTGGAACCATATCCAACAATTCATCATCCAACCCGAAAACATCACAATATTCATAATCGCCTCCCAAGCCTAATTTATTAGCATAATTATTCATGAGCTCTGGATTTGACTCCAATGGAAACCAAGCTTTTAGATTTTAAGCACAAGAAGTAATAATTTAAGATCAAAATAAATAAATTTCATCAAGCCTCTTTGATAACATACTCTTCATTTTTTTTTTAATGATTTATTTTTAGAATTATTTTCCAGATTTGAATTGAACCAAACAAATTTTTTGTAACAAGTTCATACTGTATTGTAATTAATAATTTATTTTAGTTCAATAATTCACTAAGGGAAAGTCGTGTTCTACCTTTCCTCATGTTTTCTATTTTTTTTGGTTTTTCAATTTTCAATTTCTTGTAAGAGTTTCGTCCATAGGTTTGTTTAATATCCGAAATGAGATCTTTCATTAAGGGAACTTGAAAAAAACTGTATTCTAATGTATCAATATCCGTTTTCAATTCATTTTTCACTGAGGTTGGCAAATAGGTTAAAATCTGTTGAAAGAATTCAACAAGAATAATTTCCAAAATAGAATCGTGATTGAATGTTTCGTCTATTCCACAATATCCAACTGGTTCATATTTGTAATTGAAAATAGATTCAATTATGTTAAACCGAGAATGGTGGGTCAATGATAGAGAGTATTTTTCCATTTCAAAGAATTGTAAATCATTAATATAAATTCCATATTTATCAACTTTCACTAATAATGGATATCCACAAAATGTAAATAAAACAAACTCCCATTCCTTTTGTTCAGATCCAACGTCCTTGGTATAAACTATTCCTCTACAATTCTTAATCCTAAATAATATATCGTCCATATCTAAGAATGAAATTTCCATCTCTGGAATAATTTGGTTATGGCTATCATATATTAAATTAATATCTTTCAATGTATTTTTCACATATTGCTCATTAACAAGCATTCTTTTATCCAAAGAATTTATAATCTTTTGAAATTTGTCAATATTCTCATCGAAACCATAATAAACTAAACTCAATATTTCCAACACATGTTTGTACTTATTCACAAGTTTAAATTTCTTCCCAAAAGAACCACTATAATTTTTTGTAAATATATTAACAATCTCCTCGAATGACACAGGATTAGCAAATAAATATTCCAAATAGCCTTGTCCATACAAATCCAATTTAAAAAACAAGCAAATATATTCCTTGCAAAAACTCTCTCGATTCAACACTTGCCTCCATATTTTACAGACTTGAGAGGAGTGAACAAAGGTATCGGGTGTCGTATACAATAGAATACTATGCACCAGATCGGCATAGAGGTTATTGCCACTTCTTTGTGCTGACATTTTTTTTTGTAACAAAGTCAATTAACAACAGGTTGATTCAAGACAACTAAAGTTATCCATTATGATTCAAATCTTGTTTAGAAACTTTGCCATCAATGTAGTCAACTCGTCAATCATAAATAGAATTTCATTGTAAAAAAATGGCACAACATGAAAATGTAATCCTTCTTCTCGATATCAGCATTTCATCATTTCTCTGGGTAGGAAAGTTTGTTATGCATCGGAAAATTCTAAAACTCATTCCAAACTATCCGTGTCTAGCGTGTGTCTTTACTCCGAATGAAATTGCACTTCGGAAAGAAGCAATTAGAAGGATGATGGGAAAAGTTCCACCAATGCTCGTTCCCAAGTGTTTTTCTTTTGGAAAAAATGAAAAGGAAGAGGAAAATATATTAGAAATTATATTGGAAAGGGATATTTCAATATTTGATGGAACATTGATATTTTCATTAAGAAACAATGAAAGAATTTGTGAGGAAATTGTAAAGAAGGATGGATTGAAATTGGCCATGATGAGTTTGAATTTAAAAAGTAATGAAAATATTGTAAGAAATGCAGTTCAGCAAAATGGAATGGCTTTACAATTTGCTCATTACAAATTGAGGAGGAATAGAGAAATAGTTTGTTTAGCTCTAGATCAGAATGGAATGGCTTTACAATATGCTGCCAAAGAATTGAGACAGGAGTTGGAAATTGTATTGAGAGCTGTTTCACAAAATGGTAGTGCTTTTTCATACGCCATGTGTCACAGGACCAAAAAAACAAGAAGTAGACGAAAGGTTTCTCTTAAACTCGATCCTCAAGTGATTGAAACAGCTGTTAAAAGTGGAGCTGCACTATCAGGATACACCAAACAAGTCAGAGAGTTGAGAGAAAATCCAAATGTTGCCTTGCAATGCATAAGAAATGGTAATTCAATCTTTTCAGTTAGTGTCAGACTAAGGGAAGACCCAGAATTTAAAACACTTGCCGATCAAGCTCGTAATGAATTTGTTCAAAAGATTATACTTTCAAAAAGTTCTCAATTTTTGAATCATGTTTCTCCTCCACGAACTAAAACTCCATACGAATCCTTAAAGGAATTATATATCAATAGTGGATTCGATTACAGGAAAGATCCAGAAATGATTGCTTATGCTTCACGATTTTCAGGCTCAATAGACAGAGAACGAGTTCTAAAATCAATTAGGAAAATTCCACTGACATTAGTTTTCATGGATTATTATGCAGATGAAGACGAATTTCTTGAAACAGCTTTGAAATATTTGGATGGTTCACATGTTTCATTGTTCGAAACGTTTTTTGCTAAAGTTTTTAATTCAAAGTCCAGAATGGATTTACTACTGAGATCAGTTGAGGAAAATATTGAGATTGTGAAATATCTCAGCACTACAAAGATTGTTGGACAATATGAATTTATGGAAAAGGTTATTCGAATCATACTGAAAAAGATGACTAAGAAACCATACCATTGAACAAAAGATATTAGAAAGGCAGTAGATAAAGAATATGAATATTAGTTCAAAGTTCCTGACATTCGAATAAAACACATCAAAAAAATGGGCAAAGTATTTGTATGGGGAGGCACCATTCTCACGAAACCAACTCTCGTTTCTTTTCTCTCACACATGAACGTGATTCAAGTGGGAACAAATAATAGGGATCACTTTTATGTGTTAACAGATATCGGAGAAGTTTTAACATTTACAATTCATGATGTTTCTCGTGAGAGTAGTAAATTTACAAAGATTGATTTTGAATTGGGAGTAAAGGAAAAAATCATCATGATTGCACCATCTGATTATGGAGTTTTTGCCTTGACGAATTTTGGGAAAATTGTAACGTATTTGGCTAAGAATGGAAATTCATTCAATCGTTATGAAAAACAGATTTTCAATCCGATGGTTACATTGGATGCATCTAAAATTGTAAAGATTAGTTCAGGAGGACATGATTCATTGATTTTGGAAAGAGGTTAGTTTAGTTTGAATAAGCTTTTAACGAAGAGATATCAGAAAGTGGAATGAAAACAGTTGTTTCAACTCGTAATACTACATCCGATGAACCGTATTCCTCTGCACCTTTATTAGAAATGAAAGTTCCTTTTGTAACTTCATCGAATTATGCAACATATTACACAGATGGAAATGATGATTCAGTGTTGCATCAGATGACTGATAATCAATATTCACTTTATTATTCGAGTAACAGAACTATAATAGATCATATTGGAATTAATAATTGGGTGGGAGGTTCTGCCAGACATCATCACTCCCTCTTTATTTCCTGTAAGTTTTAAATTTAGTGAAATTATGGAGTGATTGGAATTTCTGTATAATAGCTGATGGATTAGTTTATTCTTTGGGAAAAAATTACGAAACCTTACTGTGTGGAGAGACAATGATGGAAGATAAAAAGATTACCAAATTGAGTGTGCTAAGGAATGTGGAAAATGTCTATCAATGCAAAGACTATTTAGAAATTCATGGAAAGAATAAGCATTACTTTTCACTTGCTAGAACCAAGACAGGGCAATTGTTTTCATGGGGAGGAAATGCTGAAAAGCAATTAGGGATATCGTCAGATAGGAAATATGCGATATTCCCTTGTTTAATTACAGCTCTATATGGAATGAGTAAGTTTCATTTTTATAGCAGACTTTTAATCTTTCGTATAGAAATTGCACAAGCAGACTGTGGATATAGTGTAGCTATTGCTCTGTCAGAGAATTACTCAACTGCCTTTTCAGAACTGTTAAATAAGGAAACACTTAGTGATTTGAAAATTGAGCTCTATGCTAACAACACATCAGAAACAAAAGTAATTTATTTACACAAATGTATATTATTGGCTAGATGCCCTACCTTACTAAGTTTAATTTTGAGCGGTAAACTAAACTATTTCTTGAGGAAACTATTGATAGATTCACAAGCAAATTATGAAAATTACCAAAACAGAGAGAACCTTAAAAATTCAGAACAAGTCACTTCGAGAATAGATTGTACAGATCCTGAGGACAATGAGGATCATATTGCGAATGTTTACAATTCTTTTTTAGTTGTGCTACACTACCTATATGTTGATGATTTGGATTTTTTATCAATGGATTTAGATAAGAATAGAGAAAATGTGGCAATGGTACAAGAGCTCATTAATTTTTTCTACTTCCTCGAGCTGAATTATTTCAATGATGAAACTTTTGTGAGTTATAGTATGGCACTGAGTTGTAATATTGATCATTCTCTTTTGAAATCATTTAAGGAATGGAACTTTTCATCGAGGAAATTGGAAAATATGTCTCAAAACAATAGAATGATGAGAGCATTTGCTTTGGATAGTTCCAATTCAAATATTGATACAAAGTTTGCTGAGCAGAGAATTGGAGCTCACATGCTTTCAATTATGGGAAAAGAGGATACTTGTGATGATTACAAATTATCGCTTCAGAGCAAAGATGGTTCACTCAATGTTTCCCTACCACTTCACAAGGTCATTCTAACAAATTCCATTGAATTTTTCAAGGGAGTATTCGAATCCAATATGGAAGAGGAAAAGAGAGGTGAAATGCATTTGACCATGGATTCAAGTGAAGATTTATATCTATTCCAATTAGAAAATGTCATTCCTCTCCTTTATCATGCTTATTGTGGATCCAATTCTGAGAATGTGCAATACCTATTCATGGATCAATTCGATGCCAACCTCACATTATCAAATGCATGTGAATGCTTGGCAGTGGCCAATTATTTTGCATCACGAGAGTTTAAAGCTTCATGTGAAACTTTCATTTCCAAATTTATAGCAGTTGAGAATGCAATTCCTCTTCTCCTTGTCTGTGAAACACACGAAGCATACAGTCTCAAAGAGCTTGTCATTGATTTTGCAGCTTCACATTTCGAATCGATTCAATTAATTCAAGAGTTTCATGATGAAATTTCTGAGGAAATTCGAGAACATGTCAAGAAATTGGCTAGAAAGAGATCCAAGAAGATTTTGGACAGAAATATTTTGGAAAAGTATTGGAGGAATGAAATTAAGGAACAGGAGCTTTTTTATGAACCGAAACCTGCCACATCAAGTAGCTCATCTACAACTTCTACCACTCAATCCTCGAATAGAACAAGAAAACCTTCGATATTTTCCCGACTTTTCAAAGCATTCCAATAATTTTGTCACTTTGGAATTAGAAATAATTCGAAAGGAATCGAATGAGACCTTAGTTGATAATATTAATACTAATCTTCAATTAACAAGAAAATTCAAAACTTTTTGAATCAATAATAGGCAAAGTTCTTTCACTTTCTACAGTCTTGAAAAGACTTTTGATTTAATATTTCATTAAAGATTGAAAATTATGAAATTTTACTTTTTCAAAATTTTGAAAAATCTAAAAAAAAATGTCAGCATCACAAATAGAAGCAAAAGAGGATCAGAGAGCACAAATCGTGATTCCTATTAATAAAAACTTGAGTAAACACGTTTGGATTAGAGGCTTTACCAATTACAACATCAGTAGACAGACAACAAATGCAGGAATGATTTTTCTTCCCTCTCCGATTTCATCAAGAAGGAAAACCAAAGTAGCCTTCGGATCAACAGATTATTTTGAGAAATTAAATGTTGAACGGTTATATTCATTCATGGGATATGATACTTGGTATTCTAATATAGTAGAGGTTCCGTTTATTGAATTTTCAAGATTGTCATTGTTTGATGATTCGGAATCTTCAGAAGAAATGAATGATCAAGCAGTAGAGAATGTAGATAATGTAAAGAATGTAGAGAATGTAATGGTTGATGATCTTGTTGAGGATGAATATTTGAATGATGATGATGAATGGATGGACGATGATGTTGATGATGAATCATCTGTAATAGAGATTGTGCCAGTTAATGTTGAAGCAAGTGTGGCTGAACAAGTTAAGGAAATGAGAGCCGAGCAAGAGAAAATTAGATTTAGAAAATTAATACAGCCAAAACAATTGCTGTCGACAAATTTCAGTGGTACATATTATCCACCTGGAAGAATATTTCAATCAGTTTGTATTGATGAAAGGAATAATAATGTTTATGTTTATGGAGGATTTTCAGGGAATAGATCTCCTTGTTCTCTCATTACAAGATTTTCAATTGAAGGTAACGAATTAAAAGTTGAGGATTTAACTGATTCTTTCCAATTAGTAGAAGCAACAGAAGCCAAAGACAAGCTTGGTAAAACACCTTTCAGAGAGGGACATACGGCAGTAATAAGGAAAGGAAAAATGTATGTTTTGGCAGGAAATGCTCAACGAACAGGAACTTTTGAAAAGGAATTGTTGGAATTTGATTTGGAAAAAGGAAATATCAAACCCTACCAGACAATTTGCCTAGGAAAACCATTCACACCAAGAGCTTATCACTCTGCTACATATATTGAAAAACGAGATGTCATGTGTGGTACGTTTTTTATTCCTTGTCAAGGTATATTAATTTTAATCTGGACAATATTCATCAATAGTTTATGGAGGTAAGATGAAGCCAGGATTACAGTCAGGGGTTTCGAATGAACTATTCTTGTTTCATTTTCAAACTCATACTTGGGAAAATATTGAGCTTAGAGATTTCATTTTCCCACCTCTTTCAGGTCATTACATTTTCAAAATTAATAATGATAATATAGGGATCATAGGAGGAGTGTCAAAACCATACTCGGAAGAAAAAGAAGATTTAAATTCAAATCTATTTGTTTACAACTTGGAGTATAATTCATTTTCGGCCATAGATTTGGGACCTTATGGATTCAATGGGAGATATAGCATGCCAGCAGCTTTCAGTGCATCAAATCAACTATTAGCTATTGGGGCTGGAAACACCAGTTACAGAGAGGGTGATTTTACAGTCATTTATTTTGAAACTGTGGAAACCAATAGCGAACATTTTGTCAAACCATTGTTGTTGAATTCCTTTGACGATGTATCAATAATTTGTCAAACTATGGAATAAATTCATCTGTACAGTTTGGAATCAGTGACAATTTATGAAGGACAATTTACTTTAGACACTAGTTCATGCTGTAATTTCTAAATATCACTTTCTCCAGCAACGAGTTTAGTTAATTGTTTCATTTCGAGAATGTAATTGAGTCCTTCATCACGAAACTTATTTGCAGAAATATCAAGATTCCTTAATTGTTTCATGAGACTAATATACTTAGCTCCCTCATTACCAATAGAATTAAAGGAAATATCAAGTTTTGTTAATTGGTTCATATCACTAACATGCTTTGCTCCTTCATCACCAATATAATTATCACAAATGTTGAGATTAGTCAATTGTTTCATTTGTTGACTAATAACTCTTGCTCCTTCATCACCAATATCATTCGTGAAACACGAAAGTTTGGTCAACTGTTTCATTCCACAAATGTATTCCATTCCATTCACCAAAATTATTGGCACCGATATTTAGAACAGTCAATTGTTTCATTTCACTAACGAGTTTCACTCCGTCATCATCAAATATATTTGCAGAAATATTGAGATTGGTCAATTGTTTCATACCACTAAGATGTACCACTCCTTGATTACCAATCTTATTGATACAAACATTGAGTTTTGTTAATTGATCCAATTCAGAAATATATTTTGATCCCTTGTCACGAATATTATTTCCAGAAATATTGAGACTGGTTAATTGTTTCATTGTACTAATATATTCAGCTCCAAAATCATTAATTCTGTTATATGCAATTTTAAGCACTCTCAGTTGTTTCATTTCACATATGGATTTAGCTCCCTGATCACATATATCATGATTACTAATATCTAGCATTGTTAATCCTTTCAAATTCTTAATGGAATAAGACAGTTTCTTATAAACTTTTTCATTATTAATGGAAGACCTTGCAACTTTTAATTTGTAAATATTTTGTAAAAATCTTCCCTCCATTTTCTTGATACAATCACTTTTACAAATTAATGAAAGTTTCATTCTTTCCAAAATAACAGTCAACCACTGTTTGGAAACGAGTGCACAATTCAACACTAGAAAATTAAAATCATGAAAAGAAAATATTTCACACAAAATATCGGCATAGAAAAGTGGAATATCTTCCTTCAGCTTTTTTGTTTCGGGTGATGATTGATTACAGTTTGATGGATCGAATACTTCTCTTGTTCGTTTGCTCATTTTTTTTTGATTGTAATTGATCAAACCTTTTTGTAATTGACTCACGAATAATCGTGTTAAATGACTGATGATAAAATTGCAAGATCTAATGTTCTGTTCTTTGAGTTAAAGCTTCCGAATAAACAGAATTAACAGAGTATGGGTTGGAGGACCTCTCTAATTATGATGATAGTATTGGGAATTGTTGTTAGGTATTTAGCTTAGTATGTTGCGGAACTTCTCTTAATTCTTTTGCGACCAAAATCAGTAATTTGTCAATTTGGATTTGATTGGAAGATGCAAACAACATTCAAGAAAATTGTGACTATTAATTCAACAATCTAATTGAATCTTAAATATTGTAAAAACAGATTGGATTGTTGAACAAGAAAAACAACATTAAAAAAATCACACAACTACGATCAAACCCTCTATCTGAACCAAAACTCAAAATCATCGAGTGCATTGTTTATACCATATTTGGAATATTACTATTCTTGCAAGTTAAAAGTTATTGTAAAAATGTTATCTCATTACTCTAAATTAAGTATCATAACCTTCGTGGTCTTTCTCCGCCTTGTTATGATCACCAATGCTTACTTGCCTTACACTGAGACTCATCCAATGAAATTTGACACACAATTCTCCATTTCCCTTACTAGCTCAAACACTATACTAAAGCCAGGTCCAATTACTAGATATTCTGATGCATACGAAAAGGCAATTGCTTTCTTTAGAAATCAGTATGGTCTCGATATTGCTGGAAATGGCACTCGTTTGCCATCTGGTTGTGGGCTATTTACAGGAACCAATTCTGAATATGTTGTCAATTATGCCAAAGTTCGTGGTTTTCAAATTGTGGCTGGTAGTCAGGATGTTGGAGTCCATGAGGATTCGTTCAGAATTGTGGTAAGTGGGCCGATTGTTTCGAATGGAAATTATGGAAAGAATGGCGCCTTAATTGATTCAAATTCAGTTTTACATTTTGGATTTTATACCTTCTTTTGGAGAAGTAATGGAACAGTTCTATTTCCAAGAGTAATTTACTCTGGAATGATGCCAATCAAGGTCAATTCTAATTCTTCCATGATTAATTTCCAATTGACGTCCAGTTTATTTGGTCAAGGATATGCTCGTGGTTCTATTTTACAAAGAACTAATCCACAAAATGGAAAATTGTTTACAACCATTATCAGTTCTCATTCCTACCAAATGTCAATCACTGATTTCTCTCCAAAATGTTCAGTAATTACCTCTGAAAAGGATATCTTCAATGAGGATATTGTAATCAAGTGGAATAATGTGCTATTGAGTGTGATTCGTGATTTGAAGGTATCTGCTCCAATAGCTTCAAGACAATTGGCTATTCTTCACTCTGCTATTGATGATTCGCTGGTTGACTGTAAGAATTTCTCTTCAAATTGCTCTCGTTCCACTTTAGTGTCCATTATTTCACATGCTGCTAGTCGAGTATTGAAAAGTTTATACCCAACTCAAATAGATTGTTTCAATGCTGCTTTGAAAAGTGCTTTAGAATGCAATGAATGCAAAGAAGTATCCATTCCTTATTTGGAAAATATCGGAAAGCCAGGAATTTTGGCAGCTGACAGAATATTAAAAGAAAGACAAGATGATGGAAGTTTGGACTTTACAGAATATCATTTCTCTGATGGTTTTATGAATTATCAATCACATGCTCCAAACTTTGTAAGAATTCCACTACTTCCTCATTGGTCAACTGTAAAACCATTTGTCATTCAAAATGCTTCATTGTATGATCAAGGACCACCTCCACCAATTGACTCACCAATATTTGAAAAAGATTACAATGAAACTCTTCATTTTGGAAGAGAAGATTCGAGTGTGAGAACTCAAGATCAAAGAAAAATTGCGTTATTTTGGGCTGATGGAGCTGGAACGAGTACTTCACTCGGACATTGGCTCATTATTTTACAAAACATTATTCGAAATCAGAATATTAAGGATACCTTTCGAATATCTACCTTATTTAAAGTATTGACAATTACAATGGCAGATGCTGCAATTGTTTGTTGGAATCACAAGTATAAGTACAATGCCTTTCGTCCAATCACAGTCATAACTGAAAGAGAAAGCAATGAATGGTCACCACTCTTGTCAACTCCTGCATTTCCTGAATATTCTTCAGGTCACTCAACTCTATCTGCTGCTGCTTCGACAGTATTGAGCTTATTATTTGGCTCTGACGAAATATCCTTTGAGAGCGTTTCTGAGGGTCTAATTCACACCATTCGAAAGTTCACTAAATTATCAGAGGCAGCCAAAGAAGCTGGCAAGTCAAGAATTTATGGTGGAATTCACTTTGAATATGCCAATCAAGCAGGGTTCGGTTCTGGCATTGCCATTGCTCAAACCGTCTTTCACAAATTATGCAATTTTACCACGTGTTAAAAAAACGCATTGTAAAAACAATAACTCTGTTTTGTAACATTCTATTTTTTTCCAGCATTTTCTAGATTCCCGCCAAAACGGTGAACTTACAATTTTTTGTTCATCGGTATTGCGTTGTTTCTAACTCTCAACTTCACTTTTTAAAAAATGTCTGCAACATCAGCTGCCTCAACATCCGACAATACAAAGAAGAGAAAAACATCATTGATGATGGAAGCCTCGGAGGCTACTGAAATTTTTGAAAATGATCAGAATGAAAAGTTGATTGATGAAATTTCTGATGCGTTGCATAGATTGTCCCTCCAGAAGCAAACTGAAGAAATGATCAAGAAATTGGTCGAGCAAAAAGATCAAACAAGTGGTGAGAGTAAGAAATCATCCACTTTTGATAAACTTGCAATTCTTCAACAAATGCAACAGGAAGAGATGGTAGTGTTAAAAGTTGGTGGTATGTTGTGTGAAATTGTATTTTTAACAATCAATTTATTATGATGATTGACAGGTAAATTCTTTTATACAACAATGAAAACTTTGATGGGTGAAAGAGGTAACTCTAAAGTTCAAACAAAGAAAATTATTATTGCTGATAAAGTTGGTAAAGCAACTGCTGGTAAGAAGAGAGGTGAAGATGAAGAAGATGAAGAAATGGATGAAGGTGGCGATGAAGAAGGTGGTGATGAAATGGATGAAGATGGTGAAAGACCAAAAGAAGACGGTATCTCATCACTTGAATATGTTTGTGCTCAAGATAACTTGTTTAAAGTCATGTTTGATTCTGGTTTTGGTATTGAAAGAGATGAAGCAAACAAGTCTGCAATTTCATTCCCTGACAGAAATCCAGATTATTTCGAATATATTTTAGAACACTTAAGACAAGGTGGTAAAGTTAAATCTTTGGGTATTGAAAAGTTGAATGCTGACGAATTAGAAAATATTTTAGAAGAATCAAGATATTTTGCAACTGAAAAGTTATCAGAATATATCTTATTCTTACTTGACAAGTATCACAAATATGATTCAAATTTATCTAATTATGCTGAAATTGAAGAAATTTTGAATGATTCTGTACAAAATTTGAAAAAGGTTGAAATTCCACTCGAACAAATTCAACAAAGACTCAAATCATTTGAAGATTCAATCAACGAATCCAAGAAGAGTGTTGGTGAATATTCACGCAAATTGGTTGAACAATATCAAAACTTTATTTTAGGTACTGATTTAGAAAGTGATTTATCTGTAAAGATTGATGTTTCAGGTCAAATTTTCACAATTCCATTCACAAGTTTGAGAAAGTATGAGAATTTCCTCCTTTCAAAATACATCTTATCACCAAACTTTGGTTTAAATGAAAATGGTTGTGTATTTATTGATAGAAATCCAAAGTTATTTGCCCTTATTCATGGTTACATTATCAGTGGTGGTAAATTTAATCATTTCCCAAAGAATCTTTCACAAGAAAAGAAACTTCAATTGAAACAAGAAGCTGAATTCTATGGTTTGACAACACTTGTTCAAGAATATCTTGATCCACTTCGTTATCCAGTTGAAAAGATTGGTAAAGATAATATTGAATTGAAAGAAAAGGAAGATAAATTGAGAGAAATCTTTGCAAAGGAAAGAGAATCACCATTATTGAATGATCCATATCTTTTATTATCACCCCTCTTCCAAAATTTAGAAGAAATTAAGAATCAAGAAAAGTATAGAATTGATATTGGTCACTGTCCAAAATTATTAGATTTAACAGATAAGACTAGATATTCTAGACAAGTTTCTAAACCAAGACTTGTTAATAATTTGAATGGTTTCAAATTGAATTGGCATAGATTCACTCAAGGTGCTTTGGATGGTCTTGATTGGAATAATGTTTTTGCTGCAGGTGGCGGTATTCTTGGTTGTTGTTTGAAAGATGATAATTTTGATAATAATACTGCAGTCTCAACAATTTATCCAACTTCTGTTAATGAAAGAACTGAAACAAATACTTCAAGAGCAGTATCAGTCATTGATGATGAAAATGATGAAAATGAAGCTGCTGATTTTGGTTTTTGGAGAAGATTTTCAAAGAAGGCAACAACTAAATCTACAGGTGAAGAAGGAGATGAAGAAGAGGAAGAAGAAACAGAACAAAAACAAGAAGTTATTAGCAAGTATCCAATTGGTAGATTCCACAATTTAGATTCTATGGGTAATTCTACTTTATACAGTCAATATAGCAGTCATTCCTATGCAAGTCTTGATCAAAGAAAGGCCCGTTCCTCTGAACTTGCTAAAACTATTTCTGAATCCACTACCTCAAACAAGGAAAATGCTCGTTTTATCCCTGATGCCAACATTCCTGCTCCATTTAAAAAATCAGATATCGATCTTTTCTTATATGCTTTGAGTGAAGAAGAAGCTGAAGAAAAGATTAAACATATTTATCAAACTATCAAGAAGAATATGAGTAGAAGATTATTAATGAATTATGCTGGAGATAAGATGGAACATAAGGGCTACTATTCTCATTTGAAGGATGAAGAGAAAGCTAAATGTATTTATCAAGATGGTATTATTAGAACTGAAGAAGGTACTTTGATCAATGATGACGTTTTGGTTGTTAGAACTAAATTTGCTGTCACATTCTATTGTTACAAACTCAGACCAATTCAAGTTGTTTTGAGAATTTACAAATCACCTGCAGAAGTTTTGTTAGGTTTTGATATTGATTGTGCAACTATGGGTTTTGATGGAAATCAAGTTTGGTCAAGTGCAAGAGCAAGAAGAGCTTTAATGTATCATACTAATCTTGTTGATGTTGATAGACAATCTACAACTTATGAATATAGATTGTACAAGTATAGTAAGAGAGGTTTCTCTGTTTCAATTCCAGGTTATGATACTGCTAAAGTTCAAAATCAATTGTTACAATATCCACGTAGATTCCCATTCACTTCAACTGAATATTTGTTGCACGGTTTAGCAAGACTTATTGCTTTTGATAATTCTTGTCGTGCTAAGAATCCAAAACATATTTTAGGTGTTTATGATGATCGTGATCCAAATGCAGCTCAATTAAGAGAAGAAAATAAGGCTCTCATCCTTTCTGGTGAATTGAATGTAAAGTCAGACTATCTTGATTTGAATATTATCAAATCATATAAGTATCCTCCAAGCTTTATCTTTACTACTTTAGAAAAGACTCGTCAGATTGTATCACTTATTAATTTGAAACCTGAAGAACAAAGAGACATTAAGAATTGGCGTGATAGAGAAAAGATTAGAAGAACTTTCAGAAAAGGAGAAAGTGTTAAATTTGATAGTAGATTGAAAAATAATACTAATATCAAAATGGAAAGAGATCCAGATTGGAAACCTCACTTTATTTATTCTTTGAATGATATTGATACTGTTCTCAATAGTGAAAAGTTTGATGCAAGAATCTCCAACAAGATTCAATTCCTTACCGTTGATCCAGGAACTCAGAAAATTGGTTCCTTCCATCCAAAGGATATTAACTTTTATAGAGATGCCTATCAACCAGTTCCATTCTCTAAATTACCAATTTTGAAGGAAGCCAAGATGAGAACTGTTTGGTTCAAGGCAATGACTGAACTCCCTCCTCAACATGTTATCGACGAAAGAGAAAAACATGTTAAGGAAAATACAAACCAATACGGTTTTTATAATGATAATAAGGATTACACCAAGGATCCATTCGAAGAAAGATATCAAAAATTCTCAATGTCCAGACCAAATCCAAATTCACAAAACATCTATGACAAGTGGGTTCAAGAAGAAATTTGGTTTGAAGCATTCACACCAGAAGAAAGCAACAAGATTGAACAAGAGTTTAGAAAGTTTATTGTTTATGGAAATCCTGAAAGCTTTGCAATTTCAGGATCTGAACTTATTGACTTCTCCTATTGGAGACTCTTCCTTGATAGTAACCATCCAACTCATCCAAACACTGCTGCTGCCTTGCATAGAAAGAATTTCTGTGAATCTGGTCATTACTTTGGAGGAATTGATGAAGATCAAGTTGGTACTGTTACAACCCTCTCTTACAGATCTTTCTATTAAACAACTCAATAAATATTGATATTATCCAATATTATATAAATTATTTAAATATTAAATATTGTGCAGTCCAATTTTGATTGATTTATGTTAAATTAGTCTAAAATATGGAACACTTCAATTTCCTTAACCATAAAATCATCTCCGCTGAAATATCTCTGCTTCTTACCAGGTAATCTATTCTGAGGAAGAATGTGCAACTCAACATCCTCTTGACTCGATGAATATTTCACATCTGACTGATCAGAAATCCAAAAACAATAAGCATATGAAAGTAACAATGTACTATCATAGGTAACAAGTGGACATTCTGCCTTATCCTCTTCTAAATGAAAGATATAACACTTGTCATTCTCTAATCTGAAAGTAAACGATTAATCATCCCTTATAAGAATTCCCTTCTCAAAATCATCACAATTCGAAGCCAAATCTCTTGTAGCATAAAAACCAAATAAATCATCCTGGTCTGATTTGATGATTGTAACAGTTTTCAATTTTCCATCACAATGTCTATGAAAATCAGCACTTCGGAAACCATCTCTAGTGGCTCTGAAAAGAAGCTTTGGCATTAACATTGTACAATTATTTAATTCTGCAGACATGCGAAATAATTGTAAATATTGAGAATGAGTGATGATTTGACTATCTAGTTTTGTTTTTAAATGATCTTTCAAAAGGCTTGATTTAAAATTTGCGTCGAGAGAAAGGGAAACACTGCTGTCATTTAATTCCATTTTTTTTTAAAATTCCAATTGTTGAACTACAGTCTTCACCACCCCTTGAGAGATACTAAAGAAATGAGATAAAAAATTAGTGTGAAATATGTGCGAAAAGCTAAAGAGAATCATTTCCAAAAATCCTTGCTTAAGGTACAACAATTGGGATATATTAATAAATATGACTTCTCTAGTTTTTCACCACACTAATCGCTTTCATACCTACCTAATTCGTACTGTTAGCACAATATTCGGTTGATTAAATCACCTGTGCACTTTTCTAAAATATCATTAACTGGCTCCAAAAGTCAACAATGAAAGAAATACCTATTTCAAACGACAGGATGTCACTTCAAAAAAAAATGGTCAACAAGGTTTGCCTATTAATTCTGCTTGCTGTGTCTCTGTTGCTCTTTGCTTCAGTCACTTGTGAGAATATTGTCTATTCTACTACAACCTACATGGATGGAACGCTCGTTCCTTCATTCGAAACTAATGTTGAAACTAACCTATTCAACTCTACCAATCCAAACTCCAGATCCCTCCAAGAAGATTGTACATTGTGTCCAGTTGGTGGTGATTGCACATGTGCAGGTACTTGTCCAGTTTCTTCATATGATTACAAGGACTTTTTCATCAAGACAACTTGTCCAAATGGTTTCTACTTGACTTCCTTGAGTCTTCAATGTAGAACAAGTGTTATTGGTGATTCAAAAGTTTTTATTCTTTCTCCAAGTGAATTTGATATTTACAAGGCAGATGATACGAAACTTCCAGCTATTCGATTCAACACTAATAATTGTATTGATTATCGTTTTAACATTACAGAAGATCAAACTCTTGTTTACTATTGGTTAGATTTAAGACCTGCTGTGTATACAGCAAAGTGGTGGTTTAAATTTGTTGGAACTTGCAACAAAATTCAAGCTGGTCAACCTGTCAGAATGGATGTTCAGCCGTCAGTTGTTACCTTAACAAACACAACATTTTTTGACATTTCAACAACTCTATACGATAGAAACAATATCATCGCTGGTAATGCAGAAGGAGAAATGCGTCTTGTTGTTGATCCAGCTCAAAATCAAGGTTTCCAATTAACAAGTAGCTCACCAGTTTTGTGGGGAAACTCAACTTTTAAATTAATGAAATTCAAAACAGCTCTTCCACAAGTTGTGTACCAAGTGTTCTATACGAATGGTAACTATTCCATTAACGAAACAAGAACCATGAATATGACAGGAGATCAAGTTACATTCATTTGTAACATTCCAAAATATATGATTATTAATCAAGTAGTGAATGTTGATTTCGCTCTTGTGGATAGTCAAAATCAAGTAGTCCAATCTGTGAGTTCTAATTTTGCTAAACTTGGTTCTCCACAACTTGGTTCAGATTGCATGTATTATTTAACAACTGAAGGTATCTTTCGATATGTTTCACCAGCAGAAAGAGATATTCCATTAACAAGAGGAAGAGGCTCAATGACTTTGAGAGCTCCAATGACTGTAAGAAGTAATAGTTTTTACATTGATCTCTATTACATGCTACGTACGAAAACTTATTTCACATTCGAAACAACTGGACCTCCATATGATGCACAAATCACTATTATTGATGGAGAGTTTGGAAGTGGAACAGATACTGCATTCTCAGTTTCAATTTATGATGGAAAAATGGAATATAGTCCCTCACTTGTTAAGGCATGTTCAGATGTTGTGAAAATTGTTTCAGATCCTCCATTAGAAGGGTTTCCAGTGGAAAGTAAGGCAGTGGAGGGAGTTGCTTTGTTTAATACCATGTTAATTAGTGATCCTAGAAATATCAAGTTGCAAATACTTGTCAATAATCAAGCATTGACAAGTAAGAATGTTAGAGTTGGAGATAATGTCAAGTTAGCTCTTTCAGTTGACAAGTATTTGATATCACCAGGTGATTCATTCTATGGAAATATCTCAATTTATGACATGTTTGATAACTTTTTAAACATGTCTACTGGAAATGCATTCCTTAACATTACCTATAATGGAAATCAATTCATGAAAATTAATTCCAAAGTTGTTAATGGATTTTGCATGTTTTCACCAAGTTCAATTCCAAAAATTTACACTTCTCGAGTTTACATTCAAGCTGGATTCTACAGTCAATTCAACCAATTATTCCTATCAGAAACATTTGAAATGCAAGTTTACAATTTGTCACCTTACCCTACTCCAAAACCAACCATTAGTCCAATGATGAGTAAAAAGGCAGAACACTCAAGTGGTGGTAATAATCCAACAAATCCATCTAAACCTTTGAATTCTGTTCAAATTCCAGCCATCAAATCCAATAATCAAAGAATTAACAATGCCAATTCTGTTAACATTGGTTCTGTAATTCTTCTTGTGTTCTTCCTCTTTTTGATAAGCATGCATTAATAAACTTTATGAATTCGAATAATATTTCAATAGTTGCATTGTAATCATTTTCATTTTCCTTCGAATTAACGAAACTTTCTGTTTTTGGGATTATTGTTAATCACTAAAATACAAATTTACTAGAAATATATCAATAAATTAAGGAGAAAGTAAATACTTGAGTAAGGCACAATACCAAATAATATTTTTAGGTTCTTCCAATTTAGTATTAGTAATATCCAAATGTAAACTTTCAAAATTATCATAGGCAAATTTATCAGCTTGCTTATTTGAAATTATTCTCTTTTCTTTCTTATCTTTCTTGGTTGAGATTAGAATAACTTCTGCCTTTGAAGCATGCTTCTTGATTGTTTCTGCTTTTTCTTTCATTGATTCAGATGCAAAATTATTAGAAGGATCGATCAGTAATAGAACAACTGATGCATTTCTGTAAAATGACAAAGAAACTCGACTATAACGCTCTGGTCCAGATTGATCCCACAATTGCTATAATTGACTTGATTGATTTAAGAGCTAATGTTACTTACCATCTTGATTTTGGTAGTATCTCCAAATTGGAAATTCTTGATTCCAAAATCAACTCCAATTGTTGGGATGTGATGATTTCTTGAAGCATTCACTGGTATTTCATTCATTGCACAATTAAACAATGAAGTCTTTCCACTTGCATAATCACCATCCAAAACTACCTTTGTCAGAAAATCATACTCTGGTCTGGGTTTAGATTCAGCAGTTACCTTGGTCTCAGGAATACTATTAGTACTATTAGATATAGTAGTACTTGAACTACTTGCAGGATTCTTTGCAAACATTGATCCAATAAATGATAAGGCACCACTGAAAAATCCTCTTGATGATGAATTGCTCTCATCAACTTTCTGGACTGGTTTTGGAGGTGGAATCATTGGTTGATCTGTCAAATCAGAGAATCTTTTAAAACATTCCTTCAAAACACTCAATTCCACATCAACCCACTTTTCTTTGATTGAACATGATCGAATATCTTCAGAAACTGATGAAATCTTTGCCAATTTACAAGCAAAATCATAAACCCCTTTACGTAATAAATATCTAATAAATTTCCTTCCTTGTTTTGAATGTAAAAATTGATCCAAATCAGCAAATTGTAATTTCGGATTTAAATTCGTTAATTGTAAAATTGATTTTTCATAATAATCCCAAATTAATTCATAGCAAATTCGTTGCCAATATTTACAAACTCGAGAGAAGGTAACAAGCAATTCTACATGACTGATATGAGAGAGAATTTCTCCGATCAAATCGTTGGGTAAAACTTCAAAGATGTTTTGTGCCATTTTTTTTTTTTAGAAACTTTTTTGTAAAGTTTTATTAGGTCTTGATCGTTGAATATTCAAATAGTTGACAATATTCAATACACAGTTGGGAAAAAACACAAAAACCTATAAAATAAAAATTGGTTTCCAGTGGAAACAAATGAGATTTGATTTTTGGAAATCGAACCGAACACCAAATAATGGAAGGAACATTTAAGAACATTTAAGCAATTGAAGAAATTGAATCAAAACAATGAAACATTTCAAAAAATCAATAAATTTGATAAGGCTGAGTTGCTCTCAATTTCACAATTTACAAAAAAAAAATGCCGTGTGATACCAATAATGACGCCTCTGACACCGTTGCCTCCGCACCAGCATCATTCATGTACGAAGAAATAACATGTAATGAGCTTCTACTGCTTCATTCATATAATTCACAAATTAAAAAGTGGATAAAAACTGACGCTCATGAAAATACTCATGAATTTTATATGGAACGGGAAGATTCCGATGATGATGATGATGATGAAGATGATGAAGATTATGTAGAGGATAATCAAGTTGATGATGAAGAAAAGGTTGATAATGAAAAGAATTTATTCGAAAGAAGAATGATATTTAATTCTGTGAGGGGTAGAACTACAGAACTTGGATATTTGGATCCGTGTGATGATTATCACATCAGAGAATATAATGATGATTGGGGACGTGTGGAGGAAGTTGAGGAAATTAATATTGGACTATTTTATAATCACCTTTCGAATGAAAATTTTGTAGAGGAGAGGGAAAAGTTTACCTATGAATGGAAAGATAACATTCTCTGTTTTAGAATAATGCCATATGATTTTGACTCTTTGGGAAAATATGACATGATGAAAGTTATTGGTGAGATTGAGAATGAAAATTATGCGAAACAATTTGTTGAGGAACAGATTGAATATACGAAATCACCAGAAACAAAGGTCAATTATATGGAATTTGTGAATAATCATGCCATTGTTTCAGTATTTGATTATCTTGATACATGTTTCTTGTTGAAAACATGCTCAAAAGTTTCTTCGGAATGGCACAAAATGTTGTTTTACAATTCACATATTCAAAATCATATTTTCAAAGGTAGATTACTGGATTTATTCGATGGACAATTTGACCATTTGAGTCGCTTGAATGAGTTTTATAATTTGAATTGGTTGGAAACTTATCTGATGAGTGGTGCGTTCGTTTTTGAAATGTTTCAAGAGGGATTGTTAGGTCAATTGGAACACTTTGCTCATTTAAATGCAGTTGAAGTAGAGCAATTCTTTTACATTGTTCTCAAATTAGATCCTCTTCCTCATCTGGTTGATGATTTGAAGGATGATCATCCACTGATTAATAGATTGAAACTCTTACCCCCAAAGAGAGTACTGTTCAGTGTTAATACTCTACCAGAGGTAAAGAGAATGGTATTCAAAAGAGGATTTTTAACACATCTTTTGAGTGTGGAAGATAATTGTGATCCTGAAGTAGTGATGGAAAAAATTCTTATGGCCAAATGTGTAATTCCAATTCAAGATTGCGAATTTTCAGTAGATTTCAAGAAGGGAATTTCTTTATATGACGAATTTTTGAAAGAACTTTCTTCAAAATTATTATCATTTAGAATACCATCAAAAAAGACAGATTCAGAATTGGATTGGGCTGCCAATTGTCTCTGTGAAATGAGAGAAAAGGCTAGCTATTTCATTCACAATATTATTCCCGCCCATCCATTTACCAAGCTTTGTGTGGATGATGATATTCTCATTGGACTCCATCTACTCTTACTCGATAACATTTATTCTAAAATTGACTTTCTAACAAACATTCCAATCCTCAACTTTTTGGAATTATTGGAAAATAGAAAGAGGAATGAATTGACCAATATCAAATCCCTCCTTCCTGAAAAATTCCAATCCAACCTATTTGAAATGATGTTACAAGAACCATCACCATATCAATTTACATCTGATTCTCTCACTCCATTTAATCAACCATCAAATTTATTAGAATTTTTAACAGAACATGTTATTGAACCGAGTGAAATTTATCAAGAAAATAGAAAATTCTCTGAATGGATTGATAGGGATATTGAGGAATATTTGAAATTCATTAAAACATTCCACACCAAGTCAATTACACCACCTAAACATGTTGACATGTTATTTCACTTTCACATGTTACATCCAAACAATTACATGCCAGATTGTTTGAGAATTGCAAGATCAATCAAGAATCACAAATTTAACTTTATTAAAAATTAAACTTACAATTATTGTAAAATGACGTTTACAAAAAAGTGCAAATTCAAAATTTCTCAAATTAAAAAAAATGCCACAACAAGAACTCACCATTCCTTTGCCACTCATTGCATTATACTTAGGCAGCGCCTCGGAAGTGAGTAAATTAATGTTCCTCTGTAGAAATTCTCGTAAAATTTTACAAGAATCGGAACAAGTTGATCTTGAAATCTTTCATCCAATCGTTGAAGATTTAATTATTCGAAAATTGGGAGGAAACAGCAAAGAATTACTCGAACACTCGCCAACTAAGAGTTGGTATGAAATATTGATGGAATTTTACAATTTTCCATTTAAATACTCGGAAGAAATTGATCTATTTAATCATGATGAATATTTAACATTTAAGAATTGTGGAGGAGTTACAATGATTTTCATATACGAACCATGTGAATTGATGGAAATTGTGTTGAGAAAGGTGAATGAAAGTAAAATGATGGAATTTCACAAAATTCTATTCGCACTCTCAGTATTACAACAAGAAGACATTCCTGAACTAGCTCCATTGAGTGTGAAATTGAGTAGTAATGATTCGAATCAGCCAATTTCGTATGGAAAATTATTCCTCTTAATGATGAATGACAAATTGAAATATTGTGAAATTTCCAATACTTTTGAAACTATTCGATTTGATTCGTTTCCAAAATTCAAACCTCAAAAAACTAAACTCTCTCCAGCCAATGATATTTTCAAATTATGTGAAAATCCTCCATACGGAATCAAAAATAAGAATTCACTCAATTTGACAAAAATAAGAAGTGACATTTATGGAGATTACAAAAGTTTGGAATCGTATAATTGGGAATCTCATTTGGAAACTGAATGGAGTTCATTTTGGGAAGCAGGTAAAGAATGGTGGGGAACCTATGCACATTCTTCCTACTTTCCTATTCGAAACCTTTTCATTATTGCATTTGCCTCAACCACTGACTAAATTTTCACACACAGACTTTCAAACACAAATTAGAGAAGAAACTATTTAATATTTACAATTTTTTAACTTCTCTTTGGATTAAAATGAAAGAAAACCAAATTTTCTGATTGATTTCTCTTTCCCTCGCTATAAGTGTGAAATTGCCATGGAGATTCTTTTGAGAATGAATTTGAATTCGAAACATGACCTCTATAAATGGAAGTATTTGTGGAGTTTGATGAAGTGGTCTTTTTGGTTGGTGAATCTGAAACTGAATTGTTTCGATCTCTCTTTTTGGAAACCTTTTTGGTGTTTATGGGAGGTGGACCAAGTACTTTCGAATAATTATTATTGTGATTGGATTGTTGATGAGATGAAGTATTATTTTGCATCGTCATCATTGGTGTGGAATCTACAGAGGTGGACATAAGTGGTCGTTTCTTCCTTTTTGGTAGACGTGCTTGTTTTGGAAGGTGGAATGAGTTATTCGAAACAGCCGAAGATTCTTGAGATTTGCTTGGAGAGTTCCAGCACAGTGTTTGGTGGTTCATTGTTTGCACAGGTAACAAGTTATTAGAAACTTGACTTGATTGCATCTCGAGCTTTGGTTGGTTTCGAATAGAATTTCCCACAGCAGTAGCATGATCATCTGCTGCTGTTGAAGAATTAGCAGAAACTTTCTGATAAATTTGTTGTTGCTGGTCAACCTTCTCTTGTTTAATGTTCTGAGCAAGTTTCGAATAGAGTCCATTCATAAATCTTTGTTCAATCATTTCCATTTCGTTCTCAGTGAACGACAACATTAAATTACATTCACTTTCGTCTAGATTAGTTTTCACACAATTCACACAACCATCTTTCATTTCGAATAAATGTTGTAGCTGAGAAAGTGGTAACATTTGGCAATAATCGTCTTGGTTCTGTTTTTTCTGTGTGAAAATTAAATCTTCAGGGTCCTTTCGTACGGTTTCTTCCCCACAAATTTGGAAATTGTGTGAAGTTGACAAGGGCAAACTATGAGGGTGAATTGGAGTTGAGCAATGTTGTGATCTATTCTCACCAATTGCTTCTTCTTCTTGTGATGGTAGTGATGGTGAGGAAGAAGAACTTTGCATTTGGTAGAAACTAGTTGGGTTTCCAATAGTATTATTCGAAAGTTGATGATTGGATTCTTGATGGCTTAACATTGATGCAAGAAACTCGTGGATTTTGTTATTAATCATGTATGAAATTTGGTCTTTGTAAAATTTCAGATCGATATTATTCGAAACTTGATTACTTACCTTGTTGATGATCATCAGATTGAATATTAAACAATGTTGGTAGTGGTGGTGATGAATAATCCTGTTGTTGATATTGTTGTTGATTATTTCTGTCAATTAATTCTGTCAAATGTTGTTGATAATTTTCCATGTCATCTTTGGGTAAGATTAGGTTCATTGATTTGAAGAGTTTTTTTATGATTCTCCACAACGCAAACTCCAAATATTAAACAGTATTGAAGGTTAAATTATTGCAACAGTTACAAACGGTTGGTATTTACCTCAGTTTCGTACAAGTTTCGTATAACAATTTTCACATGCTTGGAAGAGATTCTTTCCATTTCTTATCCACCTGTACCGAAATAACTCCTGCCACCGGCATTAGAATGATGACATGTGGTGGACAACTAAACAATTCTGTTCAAAGTTTTCTATTTTTAATGTTCATGATTTGCCGAAACTAGAAACCAAAAGAAAACTTTGCCGAATTCTTCTAGAAATCATCATAAATGTCAAGTCAAGAGAATTTCATGACTGTTTGATTGCGGAGAGCTTGTTCTTTAAATGTTATTAGAACCTGCTGTCGATGTGTTTGAAACATTTCAAGAAAGTATTTGAAACGAATCATATTTCGAATAAAGAAGAAATAAAGTTACTTGTCTTTTTTATCGAGATTGAGTGGTTTTTTGATCAATCTACAATTAATTTGCAATATGTCTGGTTTCTTTCTTTTACAATTATTCCAAGAGATGAGAAAAAGATTGAGTGCACACTGCTACTACTGAAAATCTTATTCGAAACCATTCTAACAAATCAAGATTGTTAATTATCTTAATTCTATTGGCAACCAAAGCACTAAAACAACAATCCATGAACACTTCACTGACTATTCTTCATTTCAAATATTTGCACTATCCAAATATATTAATTATAAAAGGAAAGTCAAAAACAAATCAGTTGAATTAGTTGAAAATCTCAAAGACCCTGGTTACCTCTAAAATAAAGCTCAATGCTAAAATGAAGGAAAGCGATGAAGAGGGGTAAATTTAATCCTCATGGATGCAGAACTTTCGAATAAAAAAGATGTATGAGTTTCATCGCAAATTGTTCGTCATATTGGAAATTCAATATTGATTTAAGAAATTGATGATGAATGTGGAATAATTGACCAATTTTAAATGTTATAGTTGTTTATCCATTTGATTAGTTATTTTGGTTGTCCTTGAAAATTATTCTAAACGAAACTGATTTACTGTTTCAACTACAGCTTCTCAATTTTACAAGAAATTGATAACGAGAAGGGAGGTTTATTCAATTTTCAAATAGGAAATAAAAAAATTAACAAATTGCAAATTTTTAAATATTTAAATAACTTTTCAAATATATTTATAATTCTATATTGAAAATTCCTATTATTATTAATAGATGATAGATTATTTTTTACATGATTGAAATTTATTTGATTTGAATAAAATAAATTAAACAAAATTCAAACTTGTCAAATTAAAATATTTAACATAATTTTATCTGATTAAAAGTTTTTCAATTTACTACATTGGTCTCTTTTGAGTAGAGTAGTAAGAAAGAAAACAAATCAAATGGAAAGTGATGATTCTTTACAAGCTTCTATTTTCCAGTCAGTTGTCATCAATCTGTCAAACTGATTTTTCATCAACTTTAAAAAAAATAAATGAATATTTTCAAATGTTCAATCTCCTCCGATAAATCAAACAATAACCAACAACAAGAACATTTAGCAAGAGAAGATCCTGTCACTCATCAATTAATTGTAAATCAAAAGAAAAAAAAGAAAAATCAAACTTTACCGCCAAACAGTTTTACTTTAATTGGAACGAATAATAAGAATTACATTTACAAACCATTAAAAAAATTAAGTAGTGGAGCATCAAATACAAGTGACGTTTGGCAGATTGAATTAATTGAACCACATGATATAAAAGGAATTTATGCCTTAAAAAGAATTAAATTAGATGATATAGATAATTATGATTATGGATCAAATTTATTACTAAAACAGACAATTGACATGAATATTGATAAGAATTGTGTCAATTCAACAACTCTTTCAGATTTGGAACATTTAAATATTGTAAAATATTTTGATTCTTTCATTTCTCAAAATATTGGCGGGAAATATTTAAATATTTTACAAGAATTTTGCATTACTTCATTACAAAAACTTTTTGATTTGAAACAGGACATTCCAATAAGTTATCAGATTCAATGGTCACTTCATATTGCACAAGCTTTGAAATATATTCATGACGAATGTAAAATAATTCACAGAGATGTTAAACCTGATAATATTTTATTGAAAAAAGTTATTTCTAATAATTTACCTAATTTGGCAAATTTAAATAATAATAATTTGAATAATAATTCGAATAATAATAGTGCGAATAATGATGGTGGTGCAAATAATGAGAAACAGAATAATTTATCAATTAATACAACAATTCAAGTGAATAATGGAAATTCCAATCAGAATTTTACAAATATTAATAATGAAAAGAGTCCTGCCTCTCCACAATCCAAACTCATTATCAAACTTGCTGATTTTGATTATGCAAAGAAGGTTGATTTGAGTAATGCCAAAACATTTGTTGGAAGTCAGGAATATTTTGCACCAGAAATTATTAACAGTTTAAATAATTACAATCTCTCAAAGAGTAATGGAATGTATCAGTCATGTGGTAATAATGGAGTTGGCAGTAGTAGTACTACTACTAGTAGTAATGGTTCTAATCATACAAATGATAGATATTACTATACTCATAAGGTAGATATTTGGTCATTTGGAATTGTTGCCTTCCAGCTCATTAAACCAATTTATCGATTGAACATTCCCAAATTTAGAGAAGAATTGCAAAAGAATCCAAATTATGTGAAGGAATTATTGAAAGATCACTTGAATATTTCCTCTTCAAATTTTGAAACTCAAAGAAAACCTCAATCTCTTCCCAACTCTAATAATCATCTCTATTTACAATGCCTGGCTCAGATCATTGTTGATTGTTTACAATTGGATCCAACAGCAAGACCAGAAGCTAAAGATATTGTAAGAAATATTGAAATTATATATTATAGTACCTATACCAAATTCAATTCCCCTGTAAAACCACCAAATCAACAACAACAAACTACTTTAGGTAGTTCAACAATTAATGAACCACCTCCAAATAGTGTTCTGACTCGAACGAGTCTGAGCAGTGATAAATCCTCCTCATCAACACAAGAAGGAATCAATCATGATACAGCTTGTCTACTTAATAAATCATTGATGTGAATAGTGTGTAAATTATTATTTATTCATCTTTAATTTCAATTCATTCACTTGTTTAATCAGAGTTTCCTTAACACTTTGTGAACTTTCCAATTCAATTGCCTTTTCATAATTTCTAATTGCTTCTTCATATTTGTTAAGAGTTTCTTTCACTTTTGCCATTCTGGAATAAGCTTTGGAATAATTTGGATCTAACATGATTGCAAATGAACAAGCTTGTTCACTTTCTTCCACTCTCTTACAAAAGAACAATGCCGAAGCTAAATTACTATAATAAACAGCTTGTTCAGGAGCAATTAAACAAGCAGAAATATAAAGATCAACAGCTGTTGCAAATTTCTTATTCTTCAAATATTTGTTTCCTTCTTCCTTGTATAAATTAGCTAATTGCTTATTAAATAATTCAACAGCTTGTCCTTGTTCCTTCTTTTTATATCCAGCTTGTTCCAATTTTTCCAAATATCTATAGACTTGATATTGAATATCCTGCTGACTCAGCAAGACTGTATGTCCAGTTAATTTAGAATTATATTCATATAATGAATAAATATAACGGGATGCTTGTGCCACTATAAATTCATTGGGTTTGTTTTTTTGAGTTGTTGTCGGTGTTGTTGGTGTTGTTGGAGTATTGCTGATGGCTTCTTGAATGGTTGGAGTTGATGGTTCTTGTTGTTGTTGCATTTTTCTTATATTAAATTGTTATCTTCACAATCAATAATATTTTGATTGAATTAATTATTCGGATGGTAACATGAGGTAATTTAATATTATATTTAATATTATATTTAATTGTTTTTCATCATGAATAGGATGAGGAAATTTAGATTTTATTATTCAAGCCTAATTAAAATGTTTTTATACATGTGTGTTGTTTGTTGATAAGATGTGTAAATGTTATTGTTGGTAAGTTCAAAATTTACTTTTGGAGAGCTTCTTCGTTTTGCTTCATGGCACTTTCCAGTATCCAATTATTGTATTCGGATTCAATTCTTTTAGTTTCATATTGTTCGAGTTGAACTTCAGAAATACCCTTCCACAAATCCTTCTTCAAAGCTCCGTGAATCTTTTCTGGTGTTTCCTTGGTTGGTTTTCCATTATAATAAAAGAGACCCCAAACTGAACCGTGTTTACCATCCTATTAGTATTATTAAATTATTATTATGAAGATGATGACATCCGCAATCATTGTCCAAATATTAAATTCCAATATTAATTTTGTTAGTATAATTTCATCCACCATTAAATATAATATTCCAGTCAGCAATTCCTAAAAACTTTCGGAAAGAATACGTACAGCTGAGAGGTTAACTTTAGAAATTCTATAGTATGAATCAAACTTCCACGTCTTTCTCTTAAAGCACAAATCAATACCATTTCTAGGGGATCTTGAGAGTAAATCATACAAGTTAGTACCCTTCTTGTTCAACTTTTCTGTTGTTTGAAGAGCGGCTTTGATATATTCAGTGGCTGGTTTAAGACTCTTGCTCATTTTTTATTAATTCATTTCTTTTCTTCATCATGATGAAAGAAGTGCTCTAGCGAAAATTTATCATTGCATAGAAAACAATTATTAGTAATAAGGATTCTAAACATGATGCCATTCAATAAATTAATTTATTCTTCAACATTTTCAAACCTTCCGATCACAGCATGAAAGATGTGAAGAATATTTAATTTTAGCCTTGTATTTTGCAAAAATTCAATCAATTTAAAAAATAAGACCTTGACTTGATTGGAAAATCATCATCAGCCTTTGAAGATTTATTAATCATTTTGAAAACAACACAAACACAAACGGAAAATGCAAGACTTTGATGCACAAAAATTTGCTAAACAAATAACACAATATATGAATAATAGAGGAAGTGGTGGAAGTGGAGGTAGAGCTTCAAAAGGATTCGGATTACTTGCATCAGGATTGGCCCTCATGGGTATTGCTGGTTTTTCTCTTTATAATTCAGTATTTGTTGTTGAAGGAGGTTTTAAAGCAATTAAATTTAATAGATTTACAGGAGTTGGTGATAGAGTTTATGGAGAAGGTTATCACTTACTTATTCCTGGTATTGAAAGACCAATTATTTATGATCAAAGAGCAACACCAAAGGTTATTTCTTCAAATACTGGTTCTAAAGATTTGCAAACAGTCAATTTGAGTATTCGTGTTCTTTTTAAACCTGATGTTAATAGATTGGATCAAATATATAGAAGTTTGGGAATGAATTATTCTGATAGAGTTATGCCAAGTATTGTCACTGAAGTTTTAAAGAGTGTTGTAGCTCAATTTACTGCTGCTGAATTGCTTACAAAACGTCCAGATGTCAGTGCCAGAATTAGAGATTCATTAGTTGCTCGTGCCAGAGATTTCAATATTATCATTGATGATGTTGCTATTACTCATTTAAGATTTGGTGATGAATACAGTGCTGCTGTTGAAAGAAAACAAGTTGCTCAACAAGAAGCTGAACGTGCCAAGTTTATTGTTGAAAAGGCAAAGGAAGAAAAGAAATCAATGGTTTTGAAAGCTGAAGGTGAAAGTGAAGCTATTAGATTGGTTGGTGATGCTACCAAAAACAATACTGCCTTCTTGGATTTGAGAAAAATTGAAGCTGCTCAACAAATTGCTGACACAATTAGTCAATCACAAAACAGAATTTTCCTCTCATCTGACACTTTGCTCTTGAACTTGCAAAGTTTGGCTCAAACAACCAACATTGATAAATAAATTATTTCATTGACTCTCACTATTAAATCTTAATCCATTCAATCTATATACGATAGAATCCCTTAATTAGAGATGGAATTGCATTGGAGATTAAACTTTTAATCTTCGATCGCAGTAAAATGGCTAGTCCGCCAAAATCGGACAGGAACTTGCTTTTATTTTAAAATAAAAAAAAATTATCATCACAAGATTATAAATTGATTCCAATTTCATCATCTAACTAAATTCATAGTAAAATAATAATTAAATAGGATGGTTGAATTTGCCACTCATACACCAGAAGCAGCGCTTCTCCATTTTTTGGAACCTTTTGATCGTGTATTATTCTCATGGTTGGAAAATTATGTTGATAATTTGGAGTTTGTGAAGGCTAATTTTCACTATTGCTACATGCATAATTATCCAAACGGAATTGTTGATGATGTTAATCATGGAAGACAACCATTCCCATTCCTTGTTGCTGGATTGTCATTATTCTCTTGTTTCCTTCTCTTTGTTTTATCTAAAGTGTTATCTCCACTCCTTTTTAAAGCCTACAGAAATTTAAGAGATGATTCCGATAGAGAAAAGTGGAATGTTAAATTTGTTAGTGCTCTTCATGCAGCATTTGTTTTCCAAGGAGCTTTTCGTTGTTTATTATATGGAGGAGGTTTATTCTTTAATTCTGATCCCATCGATGATGGTTTGGTTGGTTTCCAAAAATTTTCTTGTGGATATTATACTGATTTGAGTAGATTTTACATGGCAATTACTTTTGGATATATGTTTTATGATTTCTGGGTTTGTATTAGAGCTTACGGATTAACATTGGAAGGTATTTTCCCATCTCTTGTGATTCACCATTTCAATATTATCATTTCCTTCTTGTTGGCTCTCAAACTTGGAATGGGTCACTATTATTCTTTAAGTTTCATGACTAATGAAATCAGTCAACCATTCTTGCATTTGAGTTGGTTCTTAATTAAGAGTAAGGTTCCACAATTGCATCCTGTTTCAATTGTGAATGGTTTAATGTTGGTTCTCACATTCCTGGGAAGTAGATTCTTCTTTAATGCTTACATTTTCTATCACTTTATTGAAAAGACTTTTTCATTCCAACTTACTAACTGTTTGGGAATTGGTACATGGACTTGTTTGATCCATGTTGCTTGTAACTGGGATTGGTGTTGGTTGATGGTTAAGCAAATTAAGGGAATGATTGGAAAGAAGAAGGCACCACCAGCCAAAACTGAAGACGCAAAGGTTAAATCCGAATAAATTTATGGCCATCTAAGTAAACAATCTTTTATTGCAGGGAGAATCAGTAATTTTCACTCACTACTCGTTTAGTATTCTGTAGGAGAGCTTTGGGAAGAGAACAGTTTCCAAAAACCATGAGCTCAAAACAATTTCAATGAAAAGAATGGAGAAGAGAGAGAATGAAAGTAGAATGAGGGTTCCACACAGCAACGTTCCTACCATACCAAAGATGTCTGAACCTCTGATAACTACCGATTTGAATTCACTCCTAGGGCACAAAATAACAGCATTATTAATACCTTTGGAAGGTTTGTCAAGGATTGGAATAACAAAGAAAGGTTTTGGAGCAGGAGTGATACGTTTGTTAGATTGTTGCACTTGTGAAATGTCATAATAATTTGAGGAAATGAAACATTTTGTTGAGGCGGATCCTAAGGCATAAAGACCATACTTATCAAATTCAGCTGAATATTCTGATGTTTGAGGATAATAATTGTTTTGATTGAATTGATAGATAACATCACCTGCCTGTGAGCAACAAACCAAGTGATCACTATAACTCAATGCCAACACAAGGAAAGTTACAACCGATACAACAGCAATAAAGAGTAAAATTAGAGCTGGTATAAGAATTTGAAGTTGTCTTGCTCTTCTACTCTTGGTTCTGGATCCAAACAAGCTGAACCAAAATGTAAGTCCAAAACAAAATGGATCATTGTCTCGAAGTGTTTCAAATGTTGTGAGTTTCCTCTTCTTAATCTTTTCATAAAACTTGCAAGAAAATCCAATCATTAGAATGATGGCAACAAAACAAACCAAAGCAGTTATTGAAATAAGAGCATAGGTAGTAAATGGAAGGAATGTAAGCTCATTTGAAATTTTACCATCAGCCACAATAAAAGATATAATTTCGTGATGATAACTCTCATCTTGATTCCACACAGCCAAATACAAAGAGCTATTGACTGACTTTTGGTTTGCTGCCAATCCTGAAATATTGTTATAAGAAGAATAGTTATGAATAGAATTCAATGGGAATGTTAAGGAGTATTTGATCATAAAGAGTGAGGCAGACTCTGTGGCTGATTTAGAGTATTTGTATACTTCCTTTTCTAATTTTGAATCTTTTGGTAGTATTTCATCAACATTCTCCACAGATAATTTTTCGAAAGCACATGTCAAAGAGAGATGGTCAAAGTTTGTTAAATTAGTTATATCCCAAAAGGTAAGTTCAATACGGAAGTTAGTTGTGGCCAAGTAATCATTTGGATTCAAAGTTGTTTCCTTAATTAAGCCTTCATTTTCTGCGGCTTTTTCACTAAAGTTCTTATAAAAAGCTCTCAAAATTTCATCAAGGTCAAAAGAGAAAAAGAATGGAATTCCTCTCTTTCTCTTTTTGGTTGAGCTTAAGGACTTGGAGATTTGTAATATTGAATCAGTAGTACCATTAACTCCTGTAGAATTATCGTTACCAACTAGCAAAACCGGATTTAATCCATCATAACGTTTGGTTAGACTAACTACTGATGGGAAGGAGTTATATGAAACAACTGTGAGATCAATGTATGTTGAATTACATGTATTCCTGGTATTATTCCCTTCATAAATCGACTGATAAATAATTCTATCCAATGAACTAGTATAATAGTTATATTGAGGTACAGTGATAAGTAGATTGGAAAATGCATCGGCAACCAAATTACCTTCCTCAATGAAATTAATAGCTGTTTCATTGTATCCTACTATATTTGGAATAACATAAGGTTCCCTTCTATAAATTATGTGAGTTCCTCCATTATTCGTGCTGGCTACATAATTCAATGTAAGAAGCATGTCTGTATAGAATGTTGAATTGGGAAAATTGAAGGAATTGTCAAAGGATGTATCGTAGTCATCAGTATAGGGAGCTTCTCCAACTTTTGAATAAAATAATAATGGATTATCTGAGGTGTTTCTAATCAAAACTACAGAAGTATGGATGACATGATATGGAAGAATATAATCTGAGCTTGATATTTTGGCTCCTGTGCTCAATAAATCAAAATCAGAAGAGTACATCTTTGAATTCAAGGTGTCAGTGTAGATTTGAGGGGTATCTATCCAGAAATCAACTTTGACACTTGATGTATATTCTACATCATCTTTTTCAACTTTGTAAATAAATCCAAAATACCACTCATACTCATATATTGTGTTGACAAGCTCAATATGGCCACTAATCTCATAACAGTCTCCTGTTTGCTTGAAATCATAGAGCTGGGTACTTGGAAATAAGCTCTTTCTAATATATACTTCCATGGAAGTAATTGGGACATGGTCGAGTAATTTAAAGGAGTATCTTAAAAGATTGCCCAAAAATTTTGTACTATTGGAAGCTCTTTCAATTTTGAGTTTTGTTGAATAATGAATAGTGTTTGGCTCCTTCTTAACATATGTGACTGAATACTGTGTATTTCCATAACTTAAGAGAATTCTTTCATCATCAGTCAAATAGGATCTGACCTTGTAGTAACACTTAAATGGACAAGCCTTTCCGTAGACAGCTATGTAGTAAGCTTGTTTTGTGTTCGACACATCCTTGTACAACCAAGCATTCTTCTTTTCTGTATCCAATTTAAAGGATGTAGGAAGTGTAAAATAGGATGAAGATGGTAATTTTGTCATTTGCCAATCATAAGGATAATTTGGTGTTTGAGAAGAGCTACTTTGGGCAGATGAAATCAAAATGTTGACAGAGTTTGCGTAAATGTCTGTAGTTTCAAATAAAACATTCAGAATGGCACTATCAGAATATGAAGTAACGTAATAATAACGCCATTGATAGAGCTGCAAATCTGAATCCACAATTTGGTCACTGTTAATGGCAGTGTTAATCATATTGGTAATCTTTGAATATACTGTGTAGGATATACTATCACTTGTCTGGGAAAAGGAGGTAAACACAATTGAGAATGTGTTAGATATACTCGATTCAAATTTAGAGGAGAAATATGGGATTGAAAGAGTATATTGGTATTGAGCTGAAACTACAATCAACTCCTCAGGTAATACCTTTCTACTATATAAATCTTGACCATTGTTTGATATCTTGATATTAAATCCTATCTTGTCTGAAAATAGATAGTTTATCATTACTATAGGATTTGAAAAAGTATCTACATCAGATGGTGATATTGTTATTTTGAACTTGTAACTATCTAGAGAGTAGTGGGATATTCTATCGGCAAGATTAGAACCAAGTGTTAATACTCTAGTAATAGCATTTGAAAAAATATTTAGAGAAACTGATCCAGATAATGAAGTAGAAGTATCAATAGACTGAGAAGCAGTGTGAGGGCTCAGTGAATAACTCAAAGTTGTTGAGGAAACAGTGGTATTATCAATTGTGAAATACATCCTCAAGTAAAGGTAACTCAAATATGAAGGAGAAACAGTAACATTAATAGTTCTATTATTATTATCGTCGTAATAAGAATCTATTATAATATTATCAAATGTGCATGAATAAACTAAATTGCTTTTAATGCAATAAGTAGGATAAACAGGACATTTTAAAAACCCATTGTTATATGTACATGAGCTATTTGACAAAAATGTATATTCATAAGGAAATATAATTGAAAGATTTTGTAATGTCAAATGAGATAATGAAGAAAATTGAAAATTAAAAGTAAAACTAGACGTAGAATCTGGTCCATTATTTGCTACTAGTAAATCAAAGAAATATATATCCTTTGTGGCAAGTGTTACATCAATATTCCAATTACTACCATTTCTTGAAGATATGGCATAATTTGTTATATTTACATTATTACTAACATAACAGTAATTCAATAATATTTCTGTTATACAAATATTACCTCCAGCACTAATGTAATTTGGTTTAAATATTGTTGTTGATGATTTTGTAAGTTGATTCAAAATATCATACTTTCTCGATAAAAATGAAAATTGTGAACATCCTCCACAAGAACATCCTCCTGATACAACGTTTGTGTCTGTCATATCGTAATTATTCAAACTAATTGTCATATTTCCAGTTTGGGAAACATCATTCAGTTTGCATTTATCATACTGATAATAAACTACTCCATGCATGGAATAAAGCTTATTTGATGATTGAATTGGATTTGAAAATGTAATTTCTCCATCATTCCAATTATTGCTGCCTGAACATGTGTATAAACTTTGATCACAAATCTTACAAGTTGATGGAAGTGCATTTGTATTAGAGTATGAAAGAAGAACGTAATATTGAGAAAATCCATTTGGGCATCTATATGTACTACCTTCAACACCATATGGGAATATAACACCACAAAGAAGGAAAATCAAACAAATCATAATACAATTTTTTAAATCCAATTTAGACTTTTTAAATATTTCCACACCATCAAAAAGAAATTCTGTAATATAATCAAACTCTCGCACCACTAAACTATTGTCAAATAATAATAAATGTTTGTTTTGAAGTCGGTGCTCCATTTCCGTTCGTTTTGTTAATGGTTGTAGTTGTGAGGCAACAACACCATTCTCATGCATTTTTTTTTATTGTAGCAGCAAGGCTTGTTTTTAGTCCTACAGAATTGGAGCGAGGGTGATACGAACATCGTACAAAGGAGTCGTTGTTAGAAGTGAGTTCGGGGGAGAGAATTGTTTTCTAATTATTAATAGTCTATCTCTCAAATGTAAGATATGAACAATTTGATAAGGGTTTTTTATTTGTAATAATTTTATTCAATACCAAGATATTTTCATTTTACAATTTAAATATTTAAAAAAATGGAAGGATGTTGTGGAGGTGGAATATTTAAAGAAGATATTATTTTAAAGATGAAACAATTTGCTGCCTCGTCATCGGGATCGGAAAGTATGAGCATTATGGATATGATGCATTTTGTAGCATCTGTTATTTTCCCAGTTCTATTATTTGTGTTTTGTTTGTACATTGTTTTAAAGAGAAAAGATTAATTGGCCTTCTCAACATCTTCTTGGATTCTTTTGTAGGCATTCATCCACTTAATTTCAGCAAATATATATCCAATTGTTTTGCTTGAAAGACCTAACCCTGCCCTAGTCAAGTTGGTGATGAGTGTGAGAGTACTACTATTGTGTGGATTATTAGCTTCTTTAACTTCCGATTCCTTGAATCTCTTTTTCCAAATATCCTTATTTGAGTTTGGATCAATTTCTAGCATAAATGGAACAAATTCTTCTAATTGTAGTCTATCTTTCTCGAATTTAACGAGAACTTTACTTTCTCCCATTTCTGTCCAATATTCTGTTACATCTCTGAATGCAATAATGAAGAAAGTGTTCAATTTGGAAAGGAAATATTGATTGCTCTCAAAACAAACAGGATCGGCCATAATAATGTCATTAATAAGAGTTTCTCTTTCTTCTGTTGGAACTTCTTGATAGATAGATCCTAAAATTTCAATAACAGCTTCTCTCTTCAGAGGTGATTTGGAGTCCTTAGCATAATTGTTCCATTTTGCTCTTAATGCATGTAAGGCAAGTGAAACACTTGCACCGAATGCTGGATCATTAAGACCCTCCATAGATTTACAAAATTCCAGAATATCCTTAGCATTGTTAGTAAACTTGTTTGAATGGAATTAAATACTTACAGCGTACTTGGCTCTAAACTCTTCGCAAGCAGTCAAAAACTCAAAGCTGACCTTATGTACAATCTCAGGTAATACAAACAATTGATCCAAAACATCATACAGCAGATAATCAATGCTTTTTACCTCCTTTTGAGGCTGTCTATAATCTTTGTAGTGTTGTACATATGTATCTAAAATAATCTCTCTCACTTCCTTTAAGGTCATCTTTCTTGTTGTCACATCTGTAATAATCTTATTTCCATATCTCGATTTATAAACATCCCATATTTTGCTCATTGCTTGAGTATTTGGTGAAATACCAATTCTGCTTAGGGTTGGTTTGAGGAAAGTGAACTTCTCATCTTCTTCAAGAGGGTCTACAACTTCACATTCAAGAGGAAGAATAGGATCGAAATTAGGATTGTTAATGGCGTCCTGCATATTTGGATGGTTTTTGTAATAATGCAATTGAGAGTGAATAAGTTTCATATGAGTAACACCATGGGGTACTTCAACCACTTCTGGAGTGTACTGAGGTGTGATTGTTGAACGATGAGCAAGTTTGAATTTACCATCACTTTTAGAAAAGAATACTTCTATTGAAGATCTCAAACTCAAAGCATCCAGGCCCATCATTGGTGAAGTTGTATCATTACTCACACAAAATGCAAGTTTTGGCTTTTTCTTTTGTTGATCTTCGGCTTTTGTTTTGATTCTAAGAGTGTTTTCGTCCAACTTATTCACTTTTTCGTGAATTATCATCATTTCATTATTCAGTAACTGAGCATCAGAAACAAATTCTGTCTTTATGGTCGATTTCTGTAAAATGGATTAGTTAGAATGGCCACACATTTCAACTTACATCTACTTGCTTAGCTTGATGGATTTCAAATGAGTAGTCTTCAATCCTTCTATTTTCAAGCATTTCCAATTGCTCGTGTAACTTTGTGAGTACTGATAGATCTTCTTGTATATCATGCATATCTTTCTTATCTTTCATCTGGAAACGTTTCATTACAAAGTATCTCTTCTTCTTTGTTTCGTTGTCTTCCTTATAGGATCTTAAAAACTTAATTTCAGTTCTTAATTTAGTATTGTTCTTTTCAGTTTCGTCGAGTTTTGCTCTTAATTCCTTATAGGATTGCTCAGTACTCTTTTTAAGATTTGAACACTCCTCTTTCAGTTTCTCATGAGCTGCAGTAAGCTTTTTTAATTCTTCTCTACAGTCGCTGTGTACTCGTTTTTCATTAGACAATTCTTTTACAAGCTTTCCCTTTTCAAGCTCACTCTCTGAAATGAGTTCATAATCTGCTGCAGCTTTTTTCATTTCATCCAGCAGTCCAATATCTCTGTCGTTCACTACTAACGAATAAAAAGGTACTTTAAATCTATCATCCACCTCTGATTTAACAAATAGACATTCCTCAAATACTCTTCTTATGGAAGAAAATATATAAGCTTCACCTCCAATAGAATTATTTTCCAATTCTTTCAATATTGAAAGACAGTAGTCTATTAAGGTTACACTTTTAAATCTATCTCTCGAATCCTCTGCTTTATCAATTAATTCCTTCAGTCCTACTTCCATCAGAATCAGAGATGATCTCCACTTTTTCATATTCCCAGCTACTAATAACTCTGCATCTTCATTTAATGTTGCTTTTGCATATTTTGGATTTCTATCGGAATGGAGTGAACCATATCTTGGTCTTGCCTTCAGAGAAACATATTTATCCCTAAAAACATTCTTTTTAACAAGAGAATTTGTTGATGAAATATCGTGATCATCCGATATTGGGTGATCCACAAAATTTAAAGCAGAAATGGCTTTCCTTCCATACATTATTGATGAAACTTTGATGATCAAAAGTTTGGATGAAAATTTTCGTAGTTTTTTTTGGAGGGAGTATTTATACTCTTTTAGTGTGTTGCCAGCGGACAGAGAGTCAGTTTTCCAGTAAAGTACAACCTTAAGAACGGCATTAATTAACTTCGTTAAGTTAGTTAACTTGACTGTTAATACTAATATCAAAAATTTGTTATCATCATAATTAAACTCAACACGACATTGATTTCGTCCTTCTCGAAACTCTTCATTACAAATTACCACAAAAAAACACCAACACACTCATCATAAGGGCTCATTTTTGCGATTCAACAGATTGCTTCGTCATCATAAAGGTAGCCTTTTTTATCATCATTAGTGATTATTATTATCATTTGTAATAATAATTAAATTATATATTTATTTAAATATCTAGGAAATGCCAGTAGAAGAAAAGAAAAAGAAGGCTAAAAAAGCAAGTAAAGCTAGCAATAAGTCAACCGATCAAACAATATCAACACCAACAAATGGTTGCTATGTTTGCCATAAAACAAATGAAGGAACAGACAAACAAACAATGCTGACTTGTAAAACTTGTGGATTAAAAGTTCACGCTGGGTGCTATGAAAATACACACTTCTCTCTAAAGTATGCCGATTCTTGGGAATGTGTGGATTGTAAAAAGTGTGAGGTCTGTAAAGATGCTAATTATAGAGAAGGAAATGAAATATTAATGTGTAACAGATGTGATAAGGGATACCATCAACTTTGTTGTTCAGAGAAATTCCGAACAGTGCCTGAAGGTGATAAACCATGGTTTTGTGAGTCTTGTGTAGATTATTTGAAGGAAAAGAAGCAAAAAAAGAAGAGGAAAGTTGAAAAACCTGTCACTAAATCAGAGTCAGCAGAATCATTGTTCAAGTTAAAACCTGGTAAGCATCAAAAGGTTGAGGATAAGCAAGCTCCAATAGCAACAACAACACCATCATCTAACGAAACAACCTCAACAATTAAATCATCAACTCCTCCACCACCACCATCATCATCAGTATCATCAACAAATGGAAGTACAAATGATAAGGAACCAGTCTTGGAATCAAATGGTCACAAAAAAGAACAACACGCTCAAACAGAAGTAGCTAAGGAAAATATTAACATTTTCATCATTTACAAAACTCAACAATCTACTCTCTATTCATGCTCTTTCCCATTTCCTTCACTCGATGGTCCAACATCTCAAAATCGCTCATTGTGGTCTGACAAGTACTTTAAGCAATTATGTACTGTGATCTTCAATCGATTGTCAAACAAAATGAAGGACCTGATAGAAGATAAATGTGTCAATGCAGAAATCAAGAAAATGGTCAAGGAAAATACATTTATCATTGATCGTGTTGCATTAAAAGAAAAGGACAGATTTGGTGGAGACATTTTGGTTGATTTGGATAGAATTTACTTTGAAGATTATGAGTTACGTAGTGGAGACACATTGGTTGTGGATTTGTCAATCGAAACAAAAAGCAATGGTCAAACTATTAGATGGAGCCAATAAAAGGAGGTTCTGTCTATTCTAGTGATTTTAAATTCTAAACTGATATTTCAAAAGGAGCAGTTTAAGGAACTGTTATTCAACACAATAACCGTGCCGTAATAATATTATATCGCTCACTTTCATTATATATTGGAAAATGTTCTCACATAGAGTAGATGAGAGTAATTACAAACACAACATGTCCAACCTCATATATAAATTGTTATCTGAGATGATAATATCATTCCATGATGAGGAGAGGAGTTTGCCTTCCAAGTAACGTTGCAAACTTTGAAATTATAAAAAAACATTTAAAGCCTTATTAAAATGAATCCTCGTCAAGTCTTGGATGAGCCATTTTTAACCTCAGACAAAAAAATGAGCAAACAAACACCAAGCCCAGGCTATTACGATGAAGAAATTGAGGAGGCTTGCAGGGATCTCTCTCGAAAGATCTTGAAATTAAATAAGGGTCAAGTAGATGCTAAACAAAAACAAGCTTTCTTTGATAGTGTTGATGAGGACTTTAAGTCTCTTCAAAAAATTTATAAGGGCATGTTTAGAAGTGTTCAAATGGAAGGTGTTGATGCATCTTGGAAGAAGAAACTTTCTCAACACAAGAGTGAAATTGCTAAATTACTTCAAAACTTCCAAACTGCCAAAGAAAAATCCAATAAGGATGAATTACTAGGAGCAACAACAGAAAAGAAGAAGGAAACTTCTAAGAAAAAAACTAACAAGACAAAAGATGATGATGATGAAGTCGTTGAGGTTGTAGCATCGGAGAAGAGTGCCTCAAACAAAACAAAGAATGAGCAAATTGCTGATGAATTATTTAAAGAAATTTATGAAACTCAAGGTGATTCATTGGATATTGTTAAAAGACTTATTGATAAAGCAGATGAAACCAAAGCAATTGCTGCTGAATCAATGGAAATGCTCAAACGACAAAGAGAACAATTAGAAAGAATAGATAAGGAGATGGATGAGTTGGGAAGCAACATCACCAGAGGTTCAAATGAACTCAAATCCTTCATGAGAAGATTAGCCACAGACAAACTCATCATGGTTTTGATCTTGTTGGTTGTTTTGGCTGTTCTTGGTATTATCATTTGGAGAATTGTAGATTATTGTGTTAACAAATTCATGCCAAAACAGAATAATAATAACTCTGGTAATACTACCCCACAAAAATCAACAACAAAAACAACGGAAATGGATATGTATGAACAATATAATCCAAGTGATTATGTAAGGTTGTTCTAAATCTTGATCCCTTCTCTTTCTCTATTAATTCACATTGTACAAATACTATACTCTTAATAAAATAAAATCATAATTATGTAATCAAATTGAATATTAATCAATTGTTATTAACAAAGCTTACGTGTAACAATATTTAACAAATGATTGTGATGACAATTTAATAATCATCAAATAAAAATTCTCCAAATGAATACACGACCAAGGAGAAACTCAACCCTCCTAAAATCACAACAACAACTATCTGGTGTTAGTCAAACAACATCAGAGACAACAATTGGTACTTCATTGAACGATCTATTCAGAAATCAAACCGTAAAGCAAATTAAAGTCATCAAGGAAAAATCAGAGTATGTACATGAGACTCTATACCATTTCACTCATAAAATAATAATTTAAATAATTTAAATAATTATAAATTACGATCGGAAAAGTGAGGAAATTACAATTAAACAAAATCAATTGAGAAATCTTGTCGGAGAAAGATATCGAGATATTATTGAAGCAGCAGGTTTGTTTTAAATATAATAATGAAAATATTGATCATTGAATTATTAGATTGTATGGATTCTATTCAACAATTATGTTTGGCATCTACAAATCAATTTATTGAAATGACAAGACTAATTGATGATTATAAGAATAATACACAAGAAAGTATTATCTTGACAGGTGGTGATTCATCATTGGATGTTAATTTGTTATTGAAACATTTTTCTCAAATTGTGGATTGGGTAAGTATTAAATTTTATAGAGTTTTCTAGAGTTTTATTTTTTGGTTTAGATGTTGAATTGTGTTAATAGTGGATTATATTTCTATGCTGCTATTTGTTTCTTGGCATGTAATAATATCTTGAAACAATTAAATATGAAACATTCACATTCTATTCATGTGAAAATTAGAGAATTAAATCAATTGAAAGCTAAATTAATCAAATCATGTAAAAATATTATAGCTAATCAAACTAATAATTTGGTAAGTTCCAAATAATATTTAATGTGAATATTCATAAAATTAGAGTTTCATTCAATGTGTATGTGCACTATTGGTTTGTGATAATTTGACTGAAATAGAATTGGAGAATTTAATTTTGAAAGAGAGGAGAATATTTATGGAAAAGATTAAATATAACACTCTTGAGGAAAAACTAAATGCAATAGAGTTAATTTTTGATATATTTTATGATACTGTATTTGTGATTAATAATTTATTTAAAAAGTCAAATGACAAATTATTTATTAACATATTTTTAGAAAAATTGATTGAATTTAATTTTATGAATTCAAATTTTAAAATTACAACACTTAAAAAACAAGAATATCATTTTGATTTATTACAAAATAGTAATATAATACCAATTCTGTATAAGGGATCTTTTTCTAAAATATATGAAATGTACATTAAAGAAGTAAAGCTTTCAAATGAATCACAACCTGAGAAAATTAAGGAATGGATTAAAGATTCTTTAAAGTTTATGAACAGTTTTGTTACAAGAATAATTAATGAAACTGATAACATTCATGATTTGATAGAAATTAAGAAAAAGGTAAAGGACATGTCCTTCAGTGATTCATTAAAAGATATTCAAAACAGATTCAAGATTATATTGGAATATTGTTGCGGATTTTCTATTGATTTTGACTCGGAAAGAACAGTTAAGAAGATATGGAAGGAAAATGCAGCAATTTTTTATGATATGAATTTATCTTGGCACACTTTGAATTTAGTTTGTAAACAACAAAAGTATGAAATTATCAAGAAGAGATTTAAAGAATTAACATTTGATATGTGTATTTCTGAGAATATTTCATTTTCAAATATTGGTGAAGAAATATGGAAGACTCCAATGTTAGATTCCAATATTTTGTTTGATAGATTCTTGTCAAATCACAAATCTTCAAGCAAGACAGATAATATCTTTTTACAATCTATCACAATATATGGTAGTACAAGAGAGGTGAGAAGAAAAATAAGAAAGGAAGTTTTTGAATCACAAATTGTTCCATTATGCAAGGAAATTTTCCTTCTCATTCAAGATTTACAAAACAAGGAAGAACATGCTGAACTTGAAGAATTGATAATGACACAATATTTCAATTTCTATAATAGTGCCACTGAAATTGTAAAGAAATTCATTCGTGATCCTTCACAATTTAATAAGGATACAAATAATAGCTTTTCAGATATGGACATTAAGTTATATTGTGGTAGAATAATACAATCTATGAGAAAATTGTTTACAGATATTTTCATTGAATTGAATGTTAAATTCTCAATGTTCAGTAATGATGAAAGCTTTTTAACAATTATAAGAAAGCTTAGAGCTCAAATAACAAATCTCAAACAAAAGAAGAAAACAGATACTTCTCCATACTTGACGAAATATTTGGAAATTGACCAAATATTCGAGTCACTTTACTTGGAAGCATTCAATGAATGGATAGAACAGCAAACTGATAGTTTTGTAACTCAAGTTAAATCAGAGTTATTAAATACTGATCAATGGAAGAAGGGTAGAAAGGATACATTTGTTAGTTACAATGAGCTTAATCTGCCTTTTAAGACTTCATTCTCAATTTACAATGCAATTTATGAACTTTCTCTTGCCATTTATGCCGTTGGTGATTTTAATGTAGACAACAATGTGATTGAAAAATTATCAAACAAAATCTGCACACGTGTATTTGGTGATTATAATGAATGGATTAATTCTCTTATTGAAAAATCTAAAAAACAGGAAAAATCCAACGAATCAAAAGTTGAAGAAACTTCAGCAGAGGAATCAACAGAATCTCAACTATCATTGGAAGAGTTTATTTGTGAGGATGGATTTTTACAATTATTGTTTGATGTTAAATATTTAGGATATGCCTTATTGGGAGGTAATCAACAAGTTATTGAAAAATTGAACTTGAAATCACAACTTGAACCTAATGAACAACTCTATGTCAAGGCAGTTTCCTTAATTTTATCATTTATTGATCCAATCAATTGGGAAACCTATGAAAAGTCATTTAATGCACTTGTATTACAATGTGTAAATAGAAATAATCTTTTCACATGTAATTTAAATAAGAATTCATCAATTCATGGAAGTGCCACAAACCTTGGTGGTGAATCTCCACTCACGAACACAACAGAACAAGACAATTTTGTCAAGTTAGTGAAACCAGAAACCATCAATATCCCACTTTTACCAATTCCAAAGAGAGATTTAAAGAGCTATACATTGGCTGCTTCATATAATCATTTGGAATTCACAGAGAAGGATATTCAACTCAATCTCTCTACCAAATCTAATGGAACTCATTCTTCAAAAACATCCCTGAATGACAGTACAGTCTTTGGCAGTTTTGTTGGTAGTTTACAAAATCTAATTTCCAATCAAGAAGAAGTGGAGAAGGAAACACCTTCCAGAACATTTGCATTCAACTGGTTCTAATTGAAAAACAGTAAATATTGTAATTTCTGTAAATTTCACAAATAGTAACCAATAATCCTTTTACATGTTTGTTCATTGTTCTAAGTACTTCACTTAAGCGTTAACCAAATGATTTCCTTGGATTTCAAGTTCCTCATAGATTTGTCCTCTGCTTGTTCCTCAATCAGCGGATAAATACTAGGTGCTGACCTGTATTTTAGCTGTTGGAAATAAGGATAAGTGCTAAGGATATGCTACCTGTATCGGCTGATAGCAACATTTCTGCTCTTGGGTCTTTATCAAAAATATCTAGTTCTTGAAAGAGAATAACTTTGAAAAAAAAAGATGATGGTTCGTTCAGCCTCGGCAGCATCACCAACTGTGATGAAGGCTTGCCTGGCACTTCTTGTTATTGTTGCAACAATAACATCCTTATCGTGCATTCATGGAGCATCCGCATCAACAAAGGCTTTAAAGTACACTCAAGTGAATAATATTATTGTGATAATGCTTGAAAATTGGTCCTATGATGGACTGTTTGGAACGTATGTTTCATCTCAATTTTACTATTATATCCTGATTGATGAATTTATTATTACTGCTATGATGCTAATATTTGCTACATGAATACAACTACTAGTTATTCCAAGGGTAATGGTATTGCTAAAGCATCAAGTGAAGCCAAAACACAATTAGATGACAACGACCAAGCCTATTCAACACTGCCCCAAGTACAAGCAGGTCTTCCACAAAACATTTCAAATGGTCCCTTTGATTTGGCTCAATATTTTGGTCTAAATGCCAAGACAATGGATGTTACTCATGCTTTCTATACTCATCAATATCAAATGAATGGTGGTAAAATGAATAAGTATGTTCCATACAGTGCTGCTAAAGGTTTAGTCATGTCATATTATGATCTTGTTGGACAAGGTCACTATATGGCTCAATTGGCTCAAAATTACACACTTTTTGATTATTGGTTTCAAGGTGCTTTTGGTGGAAGTATGCTCAATCACCAATGGTTAATTACTCCTGGTTGTCCATATTTCCCAAATCCTCCTTCATCAATGGTTAATAGTATAAGTGGAACAACTGGTAAAATTATTTATCCAGAAAAGGCAATTACACCTGATAATTATGTTGTTAACACAGCTTACTCTGTTAACAAACCATATCCTGTTACAATGCCACCACTTGCAAATTTAGTTCCATCTCAAAATACAACAACCATTGGTGATTTATTAACTAGTGCTGGAATTTCTTGGAAATGGTATTCTGGAGGATATAATGATGCTATGAATGGAACTCAAGATTCATCTTGGCAAGCTCATCATCAACCTTTTGTCTTTTTCAAGAATTATGAAGTTGGTACTGAAGGAAGAAATCATTTGAAGGATGAAACTGATTTATTCAATGATTTGAAGAATAATCAATTACCATCTGTTTCTTTCTACAAACCATTGGGAAAGGACAATATGCATCCAGGTTATTCTACTGTTGGAGGTAGTTCTGAAGAAAAATTGAAACAAGTTATTGAGGCTGTTCAGGCCAGTAAATATTGGAATAATTCTATGATTTTCATTACATTTGATGAATATGGTGGAAGATGGGATCACGTAGCTCCACCTAAAGTTGATAGTAAGTATTTGAATTTGAATAATTAACACTATATTTCACATTAGAATGGGGACCAGGTTCTAGAATTCCAACCATTGCAGTTTCACCACTCGTTAAGAAAGCCAATGTTAATTCAGTTTATCATGATACTACTTCAATTATGAAATTCATTCAAGATAGATTTGGATTACCAAGTATCTCAACAAGAGATGCTGCTCAAAATCCATTAGATGATATTTTCCAACCAATTGTTCAACCAAGTGTTGTTACAAGTTCAGCTATTTTCCAACCAAGTGTTATTACAAGTTCAGCTTCAACTTTGAGCATTCTTACATTCACTGCTTTAATTTCTTTCCTTTTTGCTTTCATTACTTTCTAGAAATCATGTTTGAATCAAAATAAATAATACATCTTTCTGAAATGATGACATTATAATCATAAGAAAAAAAATGAAACGAAATCAAATTGATGATAGATGTGATGATGATCATGGTGATATTATTAAACAAGCAACACAATGTAAAAAGATGAAAATGACTAGTAAAACATTCTCCGATCTTCCACAAGATGAATTATCTGTTGTTTTACAATATTTACCGATCGGAAGCCTATTAATGTTTTCATTGGTTTCAAAGGCTAATTATGACTTTGTTCGTGATCAAGTGAAGAATAATATTTGCAAATATGTTGTCTATGAAAATAACTCTTGGTCATTGGTGGATGCTTTAAGGTTAGTAATGAAAAAATCATAATGACATCATTTCCTTTGTTCAATAGACAAAAGAAATCAATGCGGTTATCAGAGTGTTCTAATGAAATTGAAGGATTTATGAATGAGATTGCAGAAAGAAATGGATCCATTTCAGAAATTACAAGTCATTTCAAAGCAGATAATATTTCCTTTCCAGATTTATATCATTTATTGGATATTAGAAAAGGTAGTGAAGAGGAAGAATTCCAACAAGTCCAAGTTGAAACTATATGTTTAGAAAATACACCAGATAATAAGCCACCTCAATTAGTTGGAAATGATGAAAAAGGATATCACTTTGAAAAAAAGATGAAAACTATTGAGGGAGAGCCCCTTACTTATGATTTGAAAAGTCTCTCAATTGACATGACTCTTACTAGATCTAAGCTTTTAAAGATTATGACCAAATTGAAGAATTTAGAGAGCTTGAATCTAATTGTTGAGCAAGAATATTACAGACCAAAAACAAGTCGTGGAGGAAGAGGTCTTGGCGGAGGATTGTTCAGTATATCAAGTGGAGAAGATGATACACAAGATGGGAAGGGAGAAGCCTTCGATGATGAATTTATCTATGTACCAATTATGAAGAAACTCAAAAAATTGGTGATTGAAAGGGGTTTTGATGATGATAGATTTATATTTGAAATTAGTTCATTTTGTCCAAATCTTGAACATTTGCATTTTGTTTGCAGAGAATCTGTTGATGATAATATGTTAGAGCATCTTGCCAAATACTGTCCTAAAATGAAGTATCTAAAGATTAAAAGCGATGATGGTGCAACTCAATTCGAGTTGGAAATTACAGATAAGGGATTGGAGCATTTTTTGGAGAAGGAAACTCAAATTGAAGTTATTGATCTTGAACCAGCAGCTAATATTTCAGGGTCCATATTTAAAAGACTTGGAGATTTCCCAACATTGAAGAGCTTTAGAACTCAAAGAGTTTCTTATAATGGAGATTGTTCAGATCAAGAGGAAGATATCTTCTTTGGTGGTAATACAAATCCAAACTTGGAATATTTAGATATTGGACCAGGTTTTAGCTTTACTAAGGAGGAATTTGAGAAGTTATTCATTTCTTTGAAGAAATTTGCTCCAAACCTAAAAGGATTTGGTGAGATTGGACAAGTGTCTGAATGACTATTCACAAACGTCAAATTGTTGGGAGATCATTTTTGACGACTATCGAGAAAAAATTGAAACTTTGGAACTAGATTCGTGTGAATACTCAGACCTACACCTTTACACAAATCTAAAGAGAGTTATTGGACGTGATCTGGAAAGATCTGAGGGAGACAAATTAATTCCCAATCCTAATGTGGTTGAACTCACTGAACTCTCCAATGTATCCAAAGAATCTACCTTATCCAATCTTGCAGATATTTTCCCAAATATTAAGATTATCAAAGATGCAACAAGCAAGACACTTGATTTCTTGGTCAATAATCCAAATGCTTGGCCTCATCTTGTACATATAGAGTGGTCTGAGTATGAATTCAAGTCAACAAAAAAGAATATGAAGAATTATGCAAATTAAGACCACACATATTTATGGAAAATTCCAAAGTTAACAAATGAAAAAGTATCACCACAAGCATTCTATTATCAATGGTTAGAAAGAGAGCAAGATCTGATTTAAATTGTGCAATCATCCAAAACCTTAGCATTATGATCTTTAGTTAAATTGTTTATATTGTTGGAATAATCATCTGCATTGTTTATTTAAAAAGAAAGCAAATGTTGATGATAACTGAGTTATTCCAAATCTCTCAAATTTTTAAGAGCCTTTCTAATTGATTTGATAAGCTTTCCATTGAATGACTTTTTTTCAACAATTCTATCAATAAATTCATTCAAATTCAATTCTTGATCAGCAGCTTCTTCAAATGGATTCTTTTGAACAATTGTGCATTTACCAGTTTTAGTATTTGGAACTGAACCCTTTGGACATCTTGAAAGTTTACCATAACCAGTCTTTTCAATGAAATATAAATCACCATTTGGAGCAAATTCCAAATAAGTTGGAAAATCCAATCTAGCCAAAGCAGCATAACCACCATCTTGACTAAAACCTTCACCTTTCATTTTATCATGAACTACATTATCAACACCAGCAACAGTTGTAATAATACCACTCTTACTATCAACCTTTCTAATTCTATTATTATAGGAATCTAGTTTACAATTGTAATAGTTATTGTAAATATTTTGTAAATAACAATTTGAATTACGTACCAGAAATATAAATATCATTAGTATAACTATCAATGGCGATACCACTTGGAACGTTTACCAGAGCTTGAATAGCTGGTAATTTATCACCAGAAAAACCTGAACTTCCAGTACCAATAACAGTTGAAATTTCACCAGTTTTCAAATCAACTTTTCTAATACGATTAGCACTAGTTTCAGCAATGTACAATTCCTTTCCATCTTTAGTAATGGTAAATTGTTGGAATGCTGCTAATTTAGTACCAGATGCCTTTCTATCCTTTGATGAAATAGTTCCTTCCTTATCACCAGCAACATGATAAATTAAACCATCAGCTGTAATTTTGAAAATATCAGTTGGATAATAAGAAGTTGAAGTGCATGGATCAGTTGAGAAGTAAATTTCTTGACCAACTGAATGAACTTGAACAATGCATGGAAGTGGTGATCCAAAGGCACGTTTACCATCAACAATTTGACTTGATCTAACACCTGTTTCAGCACCTGCAATTGTTGAAATGATACCTCTTGTATCTACTTTACGAATTCTTCTATTTCTTGTATCTATATTGTTTCGAATAGTTTCGAATAAATAGTTTAGTTTTTAAATACATTCAATAACAATAATAAACACAATAAAAACATACCAGCAATGATCAATTCACCCTTTGAAGTAACAACAGCAGATTGAACATCAAACATTTGAGCCAAAGCAGCAGGAATATCTTCACCAGAGAAATAAGGTTGTGAAAGAGGTAAACCATTACCAGCAATTCTAAACTTTTCACCAGCAGCATTGATCTTTACAATGGCATTTGGATTTACAGGACAAATTAAATCACCACCACTTGTAAATGTGAATGAAACTGTTTTTGGAAGAATGACTTTAGTCTTGTACAAGGCTGTGTCAAGTGAGGCTCCATGGACAATACATGCAAACATCATGATGCACATGGTAGCAGCAAACAAAAGAATTGAGTTTCTCATTTGTTTCGAATATTGTTATTTTTTTCAAAGATGATTTAGTCCAATTTCAGACTTTTTTACAATACAACAACAAATTTTCTACTGGAAACAAACATGTTTGGACTCTTTGAAATTCTCTCTCGCTGAGAAAATCAGGACACAATTACCCCGATGTGATGGATGCAAATTGAATTTGAAAAGAGAATGCATTTGAGGAATTTTTTGGAGTGTTTCTTAGTTTTGAAATTGTAAACAGAGTTACAAAATGTTCCTTGGCGCCAAAAAAATGTTGAAAAGTTTGGTGATAATTTAAATTTTAATGTATTCACTGAATGATATTATTACTGAATAGATGCTGAATCCAATGACAAACAAATTATCATAACCACCAATTGATCAATCAAATCATGTTGTCAGAAATGGTCATCACACAACTCAAAACCAAAAATAATCATAAAAAGACAACTTTTTAATATTAAACGATCATTATGCTCGCCACAAAACTGGCAATGCCAATTAGTGAAGTCAGATTATGAAACTGAGAAGTATTTATCGAAAAATGCAATATATTTTATTGTTAAAATAAAATTCAAAATTTTTTACAAGTCTAAAACGGGACGTGAAATTGTTGGAGTCTCAAGGTGTTGTTTCACAAATAGTGAATGATGGAAAAAACAACCAAAAGTGAAGAGAGGTACTACTTCAAAAGTTGTGCCTGGCTACATCAATATTGATTGAAAATATTTTACAATAAATTGAAAATAATTGTAAACTGTTGCTCTTAAAAGGAAATTTACAAGCCATCACAATTTTTAATTGAACAAGTAGTAATCACAACCAATACAACCTCTCAAAATGGTCATTCTCAAACCTGTAGCGCTCAATTTCCTCCTCCACGCACTCCATCCCAATAATTTGTCCATTCACTTCAATTTCCATATAAATACTCTCAATTCATTTGCAAAAATAAAAATTTTCAAAATCAAAAATCAAAAAAAAAATGTCCAACAATCAAACACCCTCCTCCTCATCTGCCTCTACTACCACTTCCGATAATACCAATTTTCAAGATAAGAGTCATTGGGAAAACAAGGTAAAATTCATGGAACATTCCAAAATTTTTCTAAATTTCTTTGCCTCTGATTTAATTCAACGATCACTTGATTTGTACTTGAAAAAATCAACTACACAAGAAAATTTAGTGAGCATTCTTGATGTGGCTACTGGAACTGGACTTGTTCCATTCAAATTTATTGATGAAAATATAGTATCATTCGATAGGATTTCCTCTTTGAATGGAATTGATTTTGCTCCAAATATGATTGAAGGAGCTGAATATAAGAAACAAGCAAGAATGGAAGAAAAGAAGGATGAATTTGATTGGGATAAATTGAAATTTCAAGTAATGGATGGTCAAGATTTGAAATTCTCAGATGAATCATTTGATATTGTCTATTCAAATATGGGAGTTTTATTTTATCCTAAAATGGTACAAGGTTTATCTGAAATTAGAAGAGTTTTAAAAAAAGGAGGAATGGCATTCTTAAATGCATGGACTGGTGATTTTCCAACACGTGTAGGATTCCATGCAGTGTTTGATGTATTACAAAAAGATGATAGATATGCATTACCTGTATTTTCACTTCAAGATCCAAAGATTTTTGAAGAACGTTGTAAAGAAGCTGGATTTGAAAATGTTGAAATCAAACAAGTTACTCAATCACTTAAATTGAAATATTCTGAATTACAATATATTATTAATACTGGTGCTCAATTTGTTGCTGTAGTTCAGAAATATCTTTTAGAAAATCCTCACATTACAACAACTGAAAAGGAATTATTGGATAGAATTGATCAACTTTCTAGAAAGGCTTTTAATATTGTAAATGAAGATGAAGAAATTCAAGTTGTATCCACTGCCAATGTTGCCATCCTTACTAAATAAAATATCATAGCTATCCAATTTGTTTTTTTATTTGGTGGTCCATCTTTTTAGATTCCTGCTCTCTTTGCTGATGAACTTTGTGACTAATTATGGTTCTTGACAAGTTCATCGCCATAGGTTAGATTGTAGGCTTGATTTTCTCAGAAAAAAAATGGAAGAACTTCACAAGCAAGCTATTGCTCAACTCTCTCTTCTCAAAATGGATGCAGATGATACCTATACTACAAAGGCTATTAGTGATGTAGCATGTCTTCAGGGAGTTGATTTGTCCAATGATGAAACATTGTTAGCCTTGATGCCAACTTTAATTAAAGAAATTGGTGGTGAATATTCGGAAATTAATTGGGTAAAGAATGATCCAATTAGATTTAAAGATGAATTACAAAAGATTTATGGAACCACTGATTTGACTAAAATTGTTAAGGAATTTAGTTTTTCTGATGGTATGTAGTGAAAATTGTAAAAAAACATCTCAATATTAATGTATGATCAATAACAATAGGAATTAGAACATGGGGAGGTGGTTATTCTAGAGGATCATATGTATTTATATTTGGAAAGGAATTAGTATTTGTTCATTCTACAATGTCATACACTGATTAATACTCATCACAGTTAATCGATATTTGTTTTTTCTTAGAAGAAGGACTTTATAGCCTTGATTGGTCAATAGATTACAAAATCATGTATAATACTTAATGTTCAATAATAAAAACAGCAACAATAGAAAAAAATGTTAATAGATTACAAACAAGACAATGAAGGCTTTAAATTATCATCTTCGGAGGATATCAATTCAATATTAACAACATCACCTTCATCTACAACTACCACTAATACAAATAATAATAATAATACAATTAATAATAATAGAATTGATTTTGCTAAACAATTTTCAATGAATGATTTCTTTGATAAAGAGAAGAGGCTTGAATTTTTAGAATTAGCCTTTCATAGAGAGGGTTTATTTGCAACAAGTCATCGGATTGGATTAAATGAAAAATGTGGACTTACCTATGATGGTTAGTTTTTATATCAATATTGACTATTTGATGATGAATAATATTGTTTACAATGTATTTAATATTTAATAATATTTAATATAATATATTTAATAATAATATTTAAAAATAGGACATCAAATTAATTTGGATAATTCATCAATACATGAACCACTTCATGATTTTTCATCACCTGCTAAAGAATCAATACATTTAAATATGATAACATTAGCCTTAGATGGTAATGAATTAGCTAGAAAATTCTTTTTATTACCTCTACTTTCTAAAAGTAATAATTTACTAAATATAGATAAATTGAATGAAAATGGAAAGAGACTATATCAAGAAAATGAAAATATACTATTAATTGAATATTTAATTGATATTTTAGAAAAGAAATTTAAAAGTTATGAAGATTTTGATAGAAAATTTCCAGCCTTCGGATCAATGTTACCTTGGTTTAGAGTTAATGATGATGGTGCTGATAGAATGCCTGATTGGTTATTAAGAATTCCATCTTTAGATAATGGTCAATTTATATGGTCATTAATAGCACTTGAACATATTTTATTAAAAGTATTCAATAATAATAACAATACTACTACCAATAACAACAATACTACTAATAATAATACTACTAATAATGGAAATTCTAATAATAGTATAATAATAATAATAATATAGATAATTGTAAATATTTTAAAAGTAGAGCAATTTCAATTGTAAAGAAAATTCAACAAAAAATTGAAATGATTAAATCAACATCATTGATATTATTTTATCATGGTGATGGTAAAGTGAGAGCAATAAGTTATATTAAAGATATAAATGTAAATCCATTATTAAATTATTCAAGAAATAATTATAAAGGAAATGGTAAATCATTTATTGATGATACCTATGAAGGTGAAATGATGGTCATGTTCATGTTATTATTTGGAAATTGGAAAATATTGGGAATTGAAGTATCATCTAAATGTGAATGTGAAAAGATTTGGAAGTTTAAATCGAGGAGAATTAAAAAAGTAAATTACAAATCTAAAAATTATGGAGAAATAGCTGTTGAAGAGTGTTATTGGGCATCATCACATGAGAAATGGAAATATTTAATATTACCTTATATAGATTCTGATATAAATAGGAAAATATTTGAAAATGGAGAGAAGGTACGATTAATTAATTCAATAGAAAATTCAATTCCTGGTTTATTTGCAAGTGTTACAAAACCACATACTAAATATAATCCAAAATATGCAAGTGAATGTGGAATACCTTCCATTTCAAGAGAGAAGGTAATTTATGAAAATATTGTAACTCCCTATGCATCATTTCCTACAATTTTAGCAAATTATGAAATTGGAATGATTTGGTATTGGAATATGTTAAATGCAAGTAGAATGCAAGGTATTTATGGAAGTACTGAATCAATTCACATAAATGGTAAAAAGATATGTCCTGTATTAACATGGGATTCAAAAATTACAACAATTGTAGCATTATGTGGAGGAATATTTAACTATACAAGAGAATATATGAAAAAACATAATGTTTACAATGAATTTATTCAATCAATAGATAGAGAATGGAGTAGAGTATTTTCATTAAATGATGAAGCAAGTCACATTTCATTTACTAATTTACTACCTTCAAAATCAATACCTAAAATTAAACTTGAATTTGATTGGAAGAGTATTTAAATAAATAATTAATTTAATTTGAATTTATAATAATTTAATTTTTTATTATTTTTAATTTTTAATAATTTTTAAAAATAAATTTTTTGCATATTTTGCAATAACATCTGGAACATCAATTGGTAAATCGTATGAACTTTCAATTAAATCCCATTTAGCATTATAAAAAGAAGCCAAATCAGAATGTAATTTTTTAATAGCTTGTCCTCTACCTTCCTTCCACATGTTGAAATTATTACACATATTACTACCCTCTGTAAAATGATTACTTTCACAATTACCATCTATTAAATTTTTAGCTGTTAAAATAATGGTTGGTATTTTCTTATATGATTCATCATCATCATCATCGTCATCATTATTAACTAGAGTTGAATTGGATTGATTATTGATAATCATATTACCAGCAGTATTACCACCACTATTACCACTACTACTACTAGTAGTATTATTATTTTGATTAATAGATGATTTAAATCTTAAATATTTAATTGATTCAGCAGTATCAGATTGAAAATGTTTTAATTCACTCCAAACACAACCAGTATACTTATTTTGAAAAATAACTTTTCTATTAATAGAAGTATTAGTTAAATTTAAAATATGATCAAAATAAGATTTCCATCCATTCATATAATATAATTCATAGGGATCTTCATATTCTAATAAAAATTCAAAATGAAAATATTTAAATAAACGTGGTAATGCAATTGGATTAACATATCTAATAACATCATCAATATAATCACGTGTATCTTTTCTCAATTGAATATCATTATCTGTTAAATTTTTAACTTGTTTTAGTAAAATTAATTCTTGATCTTCATGTGATGGATGTAATAATATCATTCCACTTAATAATTCTGGATATTCAGATGCTAATGCACGTGCTGTAAATGATGCACTTGAATGTGCAATATATAAAAATGGTGTTCTCATTCTACTTTCATAAATGGTTGAAACAATTTCATTCAATGTATGATTACCATCACGTGGTAATGGTCCTGTATCACTAAATCCATATCCACCTCTCTCTAAAACACATGCTCTAATATTTTGTTTAGAGAGTGATCGTATCAGTGGTTTCATATATTCATAGGGTGATGGTATTCCAATATCTGCATCTAACAATGCAACATATGGACTTTTTAAATTACCCTCACAATACATGTGAATATTATATTGATGATGATCTATGGAAATGGAATATTTAATACCCGGTGGTTTTTCAATATCATTCACCAATGCTATAGCCTGTATGGTAAATAGTATCATCATGGTACCAATCATTGAAAAAGCCACCAATGAAATCAATTTTAAAAGCATTCCAATGGAGAAACACAGAAAATTTCTAGCATTTAAATGAAAGAGTGAAATAATTTCACCATCAAAATCCATTGGTCTATCATTTTTAAAAACATTATACTGATTATAGGAAATTAAAATAAATGATATTAATGGTACTAGACCATAACATGATATCCAACCTGCTAAATGATCTCTTGATTCTACAAATAAGGAATAACAAGTAAAATTAATTAAAAATAAAATTCCAAAAAATAAAAATACAACCATTCTATATACAAATATACTAAAATAAGAATCAATATTTACAATTTCTTTAGGTTTTTCTTTTTTTATCAATGTATATATTCTTAATATAAAAACAGATGTAAATAATTCAAATATAATTACTAAAACAAGTAATAAATCTAATCCACTTATCCATAATAAGGTTGTTGGTGATCCATTTGTATAATAACCTGAATCATCTGATGAATTAACTGTTGATACTGTAAAAAATACAAATATAGATAATAAAAAAAATATTAATGAAAATATTGATGATTTGTATAAAAAGGTTAATAATCTCTTTCTTAATTTCTTCTTTTCTTTTCCATCTCCTTTTTTAGGTTTTTCTAAATCAAAAAATACACTTTTTTAAAATTATTAAATTAAAATTAATATTAAAAAATATTTAAATTATAATAAATATTAAAATATAAAATAAAAACTCACTTGCTTTCCATATTTTCATCATCACCTACTAAATTAATAGATGGAAATAATTTAAAACTAGCCTTTTTAGTAATAGTATAACCAGGTGCAATAGCTGAAATAGAAGTTAAAGAAGCAGATTGTGTAATTTCACCAACTTTATGAGATCTAAAAAAGCTTCCATCAAAACTTTTCCTAGAAGATTGATTACTATCATCAAGTTTTCTAATATCAGATCTTCCTTCTCCCTTAACATTATATGAAGATGTAAATTGTTTTGAATAGTGAAATGTTTTTGATTGTTTTAGGCTTGGTTTTGTTATGAATTGAATAGGACTAGTAGAACCATTGGGTGAATGAATTAATCGTATATTATCATCATTAATACCACTACTATTATTACTATTATTATTATCATCATTGAAGGCTGAAATATTTACACCACTTTCATCTATTGTTTTAGCTCCTATAATATCCATATCAGAACTATAGGATGAATGTGTTATTACTTTATGATTTTTTACATCTCCAAAATCACTTATAATTCCTCTCAGAGGTTCTTTACCATCATATTCATGAATAGGTGTTGGTGCTGATGGAAATTCATCATCATCATCATCAGAAAATGATACTCCATCATCATCCGATAATGTATCTTGAAGTATGTGTTGATTAGAACCTCCTCCACTTTTATCAAAACGATCATATTGATTCTTCTTGTAGAGTGATGAAAATTTCTGTCGAAATGATGGCATTCAATATTCTATTGTTGTAATTGTTATTATTATTATGAAGATGAAGCTATTTTTTTTCTTCTTTCTGTTGTCTAATGATGCATTGTCCTTCTTCTACTTTCGGGCTAATTAGAGTATCTCAAGTCGTACATTTAGGTATGTACCAAACAAGCCTTCAAAAAAATATCTGTACACTTATTAATAGATATTTTGGAGGGAAAACAAATGCTTTTGTTTCAAAGGCTGAAGAATGTTCACAAAACAAAGCCTTTTGTTGAATTCAAGTTTTAAAAAATGTTTCTACCAAAACATCCATCAAAGCCTTCAGTTACTTCCTCTTCTTCACTTGGAGTTGATCAACGACAAGGCTCTGTATCATCATCATCTTCAACAATTGTCTCACACCCTAAAAGGAGAATTACACCAACTCTTGTAGATCCCTCAACAGCTACAACAACTACCACATCGGGATTGACCACTCAACAACCAATAACATCATCGGAAGGATATTCTCATAGTAATAGTAGTGGTAGTAGTAGTTTATTTAAAAATCTAAATGATGATGAAGAATCAATTAATAGTTCATCTGATGATGATGATTATGATGATTATAATGATGAAGATGGACAATTAACAGATGGAGGAGAATATGAAGAATATGAAGAGGATAATGATGAAGAAATGATTCATAATATTAATGAATCCATTCAATTACAACAACCTCCTTCATCAAAAAGAGTTAAAAGATCAACATCAACATCTTTATCATCTGGTCAAAAAAAACCAATCATAACCAGAATTATTGAAGAATATTCTGAAAATGAAATTCAACAAGATACTAACTTTTTAACAAATTATGATATATCAGCAATATTTTCATCATTATCATCTACTAAAAGAACCATATCATCTATTAATTCTTCATCTATTAATAATTCTAATAATTCTAATAATTCTAATACATATTCATTCTATTATTTAAAAGATGATATAGTATTATATGAAATGAAAAATAGATTACATTTTGGTAAATTAAATGAAACTGAAAAGTTTGAAAAGAAATTAACTAATGATATTATTAATAAATTAAATAATAGTATAGATTTAAATTTATATCCACAAATAAGTAGAGGTGATATTAAAATTACACAAATTAAATTAAAAACAACGATTGAAATTATAACACCCATTGAAATTAATTGTTATTATTCATATAATAATATTGAATATATTATTATTACAAAACGATTCTAATATAT